AACCAAAGTCGTGGTTGTGGCGTGTGTGCGCTGTGACTTGTGAGGACGCAAGAGGTTCCAGATTTGATCATGTCGTTTCGATTTCTTCGCAGCGCCAAGGGCCCACCACCTCCATCCGTGCTTGGCTGGGAGATGCGACGCCTGATCGGTCTTGGCGGGTTCCGAGCACGCAGCTGAGTGATCGAATGGACGCCACGGCAGGCGGCAAGTACTGACTCCTTAAGTACTTAGGTACTTGGGTGCTGAAGCCACGAGCGGACGGATGTCAGCCCAGCCACGGCCCATTACGTAGATGGTACGGAGCAGATGCGGCCAGCAGCGAGCACACACATCATCAGCACACATGCGGCAGGCATTTTGGGTCAATCCCACTCCCACCCTGCAGCCGCACATGGCCGTGGTATTTGGCAATTTATGCTTCTTCATGGTGCCACGACCTGCCGGGTGCTGTTGTATTTAAGCATTTCGTGTACCCAGTAACTTACTCCGTACGTACGGGAGTGACTGCCCAACGCCCGTTTGCCGTCGGCCAAGACGAAACTGGAACGACATTGTGCCAACACGAGAAAGACATCACGCACCCGCAACGCAACTCGACATACGTGCTATACGGAGTCCTGTGTACTAGAAAAAATTAAAAAAAAAAAAAAGAGAAACCCTCCGCAACTGTCCCATTTGGCGTCGAATCCGGCGGCCGGCCAGCCAGTCTTTTGGATCAGCCACAGAAACATGCGAGCATCATCGTCGTTTCCCACGCTCAAGGCTTGACAGTCCTACCATCTGCCGCTCTCCGGCAAACCAGAACAGCCAGGAAGAGAGAGAAAGAAAGAAAGAAAGAAAGAAAGAAAGAAAGAAAAACCACAACGACATCACGTCACACAGTCGCGTCGCATTTCGCACGCGCAAAACGGGCCGTTGTACGGAGTTCCGTCATACCGAGTACCATCACACCACGCCCGGCCGAATTGCCATGCACTGCCCTCCGCCATCCGCCATCTTGTTGAGATCTGATCGGTCTGTGTGCGGAGCTGTGAAACTCGCAGCCTCTTGTCTGGTCCAAGCTTCTTCGTGACCGATCAACTCTGGGCCCGGGGTTCGTGGGACCTTGATGTCCTTTTGTTTGCCTTTTTTTTTTTTTTCCCTTTTGAAACTGCCACCCTTCAAAGTTCCCAGCTTTGCGCCGCGTCCAGACCCCAGAATTGCCTCGTCTGCGAGATATTAACTTCGAAAGCGCCAGAGCCTCTTTTTTTTCCCTCGCCGCGGTAGCATCGGGTGATGACTCCGTGTGGTCGAGGACCGCCATCGACTCGACCGAGAGTTGCAGCCAGGCGAGACATCGGAGCCCTCGAATCAACCAGTCAGGATATTTTGTCACACCTCCCACAAACTCTCCCGGCATCTCACCTCACAGCCTCCTTTTCGTCGGAGACTTGATCTTTTTTTCTTTCAATTTATTTTTCCGTCTGTCCCTAGCTGCAATCTCCTCTCCAGGACAGAAGCCAGGGCCCGGGAGCAAAGTCGTGCTTGCTTATTTACCGCATCCCTGTCTTGTTGCCCAAGCACGGTTTGACGTCTGTCTGCCCTGCCGCACTCAGCCGGCCGGGAGCTTCTCGACCGGGAACACACAGTTGCGCCAAGACACGCCGCCCCTCGAGGAAGCGAAGAGAAAAAGGAGACGGCGTCTGCAAGGACAAAAAAAGCAGGGTGCCAGATCATTGGGATCTAGGACCAAGGATTCGGGCTGCCAAACGTCGTCCTTTTTCCCACGTGCGCTGGCTGCACCATCCCCCCCCCCTTGAAAAAGAACAGAACTAGCTTCGCGTCTACACTCACCCCGAGCTCGACTTTTATTTTTGTTTTTTATTTTCTTTTCATCTTCATCATTTTTAAAGGGGGTGGGCGTTTGCTATCAATTGGATTGGATTGGCCTGGCCTCCTGGCCTGGCCTGGCCCGAGCGGAGAGGTCACGGCAACGACATCCAGCAATCATTATTTCCCAATCAGGGCCATCACCATCACTGGTCAAAACGGATCACGGGGACAAGAAGCAGACAGACAGACAGGCACATGCTTGGTGCGGACCAACTGTTGGATCGGCGCTCATTGACTTGCGACTCGGACGCTGGTGCTCGTCATTCGTCTGGTCGTTGCGCGGCCCAAGCTCAAGGAGCCCTGGCACCAAAACTTGCAGCTGTTGGACCTTGGACAGGCAGGGCAGCATTTCTCAATCATAGAGCCAGACCAGCTTGCCTTTTTCTCCCCTTCTCGTCCGAAATCTTCTTTTGCCACAAGTTCCTCGTCGCTCTGCTCATGATCAACTTTGTTCCCCGTGCTTGTGCTTGCATTGCAGATCCGGGGCTCACTTCTCTCTTTCTCTCTCTCTTTCTCTCTCTCTCTCTCTCTCTCTTTCTCTCTCTTGTCTGCGGACAAACAAACAACAAACCAGTGGCCACCTGTCAAATTATCCCGGCGCATCCCTTCCGACTACAGATTGAAAATCTCACCATCGCATCATCCTGGTGTCTCTGTTGCTGATACATGGTCCCTCGTCCTGGCATAGCGCCGAAACTACTCTCCGGGAAGTACTTTGTACTTTTGCGACACGACAACTGCCCGCCTGCACCTTCCCGCGTGTGTCTCTCGAGCCCAGACTTCTCGGCACTTCTGTGCCGAAGGCTGCCTACGGCTGCCCAGACTTGGTCTCGCTGCAGATTGTTGTCTTGGATTTTTACGGACCACAACATTCAAGCCCAGCGCCCGTGAGCCCTCGAGGGACCGTTTCGTCCTGGACAGGGGAAATATAATAATCTTCATCGAGCCAGGACGGAGCGTCGAGTTTGATCTTTGACATTGACATTACATTGACATTGATATTCCAGATTCGACCGACAAGTGCGAGGTGGTCTGTTCCGTTGGACCGTCTTTCTTGGATCCCGTCTTTTATTCATCCTCCCCCTGCCCTTCCCCATCGCCCATCTGCCTCGACATCTTTACGTCTCGACTTCTTCGTCTCGCCACCAATGCTCACCTTTGCCGGCCGTCCCAAATCATCAGTCTTTGGCAGCCATCGTACCGAGACCAGTCCCCTTATGGAGGGCGAAGGCGGAGGAAGAGGAGCGCCGTCGCGATTCAAGCGGCTCTCGTTCATGATGCATCCGCCACGTCCAGCCCATCGTCCCGACTCGGATGTGTCGCCCATGTCTTGTGTGCCGCCAAAGCCTGTCCAAGTCGATGGCAAGCTGGTTACCAGGACCGTTGCCAAGATGGATACCGAGATGGATACGCCCAGACCCGTCGATACGAAAATCAATACCACGCTTGATACTGCGGCCTGCCCCTACCTCCCGCCGTCCGAGCCTGAACTGAAGCAAGAGTCGGCCCAAGACGCTTCGCCGGCTGAAGCGAGGAAAGCATCGATATCGTTTCCGGAGGAGTTGCCCAAGCCCGATCATTCGCCTTCAGACCGGACGCCCACCGATGCGCTTTCAGAGAGCTCCTTTGGGCGGAAATCGTCCATTTCATCCGTCTCATTTCGACGCTCGAGGAACCCGTCCGTCGCACCTAGCGCTTCCAAGCAAACTGTTCATGGCTTGCGCATTCGAAATGCGTCTCCGCCGCCCCAACGGTAAGTCTCTTCATGTTTCTCATTGTCCAAAACTCATGACTTCCATCTGCCATTTCATTCAACCACCGCTGCCCACATGCACAAAGACGCACCTGAGACCAGAGCCCGAGACTGTGTCTGTCCAGTGTGCGGTTGCAATGCGACCCAAACCATCGTTCTCGCCAGTTTCCTGTCGCGCCAAACGAGGCCGTCGGTTTTTATACCCAAGATTCACCCCTGCCCCGCGCCGTGCTCGTCGCTCAGCTCCCATGCTGTGCACACAAACTCGGCATCTCCATCCGACCTCAACATGATGGGGGATGCGCTGGCCGCAGTGCCGTCTTTGCCGCCAGTACCACCCAACGAAGACTCGAATCCGGGGCTTTCATGCGAAGCTCTCTCGACGTCAATCATGGCCCACGTGTCGACGAACGGTGGAGTGGAACCGCTCCCAAGGCGCTGGGTTGGCATTGAAGCATAGCGGCGGATCCCGCAAGCCAAACCAATACTTTAGATCTCGTCATGGAGATCTCGCTGGCAGAAGTCGGCATCATGCCGACCACCTGGCTGGCTGGACCTTGTTCCGTACACTGCATGAGCTGGCGACAATGGTGTTGAGTCTGTGGCAGCCGCAACGCCGTTGCCCAGCATGGGTCGCCCATGTGCTCGGGGGCGGTCAGGTTGGCAGTTCGTTCAGTGTACTTGGCTTATATTTTCAAATGCCTTGGCGGCATCCGCAAATCAAAGCGACCGGCTTCTTGGGTCAGCGCACCGCACGATGCAGACTCTCGGCTGCGCCCGGACTGGCCGCGAGCGTCGTTTGAGGGCACCACACAGATCCACCCGGCCCAGGCCTCTTTTTGAACCAGCCCCCCCTCGCCCCACAGCTCTGGCCATTGCCCTGTCACGGCTGAGTCTGACGAATGACGACTTCTCCTCATTTCGACGGAGCAAACATTTCAGCCTGTCTTGTCTTGACTCAACTGGTGCGTCAGGCTACATCCGCATCGGCCCCTCCAACCAGGCTGGGCTGGACCGGGCCCTCTCCCTCTCTGGGCAAGGCAGCCCCTGGACCTGGATCAGACGACGGACGGGCACAAGAGGGTCTGGCAGCCTACGGTGGTTGGTAGCTAGCTACCCATCGGACAGTCACGGGTGGCGGCAACTGGCGCCGTCTCGGACCAAAGGTCGAGGCTAGCTCGAGGCGACCGTGGCCGCCACGACGGTGTGTGGGTGGTGGAGTCATACTTTTGAATGTCGTCTGTTCTTGTCCACCCACATGCTCACTACCCGAGTCTGAGCCTCATTCTGTCGTTACGACTCCTCCTTCACATCCTCCCGTCCTGTCGCGGCTCTAATCTTTTTTCTCTCCTTCAACCGCTTCCGATTTGGCACTATGGCGACGCTAACCGAGACGACAAACGATAGGTTTCAGCACCACGTCGGTTTCGACAATGTCCCCAGTGGCGAGGCTACCAAGAACAACACCCTCTCGTTGACCCTCAACGTTCGACACAAGGGCTACCAGGCCCGTCGCAGATCGCGCAGCTTCATGGTTGGCGTCGATGAGCACTCGTACTCTGATTATGCCATTCAGTGGCTGCTGGACGAGTTGGTCGACGACGGCGATGAAATTGTTTGTGTCCGAGTCATCGAAAAGGAAATCCGCTACAATGACAAACAGTATCAAGAGGACGCCGCGAACGTCATGCAGAACATTTTGGCCAAGAATGGTGCCAACCGCGCCATTAGTTTTGTGCTCGAGTATGCCGTCGGCAAGTTGCATGCGACCTTCCAGAAGCTGGTGTGTGCCGTCCCTCCCTCGCTCGTGCTGAGGGACGCTCCATTTTTCCGTGTGCCTGACGTGAGACACTGACACCGCCGTCCCCTTGCAGATCCAGATGTACCAGCCAGCGATGCTCATTGTTGGCACCAAAGGCCGCTCATTAGGTGGTATTCAAGGCCTGGTCAATTCTCGCAATTCCTTCTCCAAGTACTGCCTGCAGTACTCACCCGTCCCAGTTGTCGTCGTTCGACCGACGGAGAAGCGGATTAAAAAGAAGGTCAAGCGTGCCAATGATGCAACCCGTCAGACATACGCGGGAATGCTCGCCGCCAGCAACGGCCTCCACGAAGCCGACAGCGAGACAAGCAGCACCTACGAACTCGAGCCGCAAGCTTCCCCTGACGAGGAGGCGCACCAGGTCGCCAAGGCTTTGGGGCTGCCTGCCGCCTTTGACCCTACAATTAAGCCGCTGCGAGACAGTCTACTGCCGAGATCTCGACCCTCCAGCCCCCACCCCGCCGTAAATGGCACCTCTGAGCGACCGCCACTTCAAAGGTCGCCAGGCAGCGCCGGCGGTGACACGGAAGAAGATGAGGAAGAGGAGGAGGAGTTCGATGTTGTTGACGGCATGCACGTTCTCAACCAGCAACAGAAGTTGGAACAGCTGCACAAGATGGAAGTCGGAGAAGCTGCAGCCCTTAGAAAGGGCGTAGACAATGAAGAAGAAGAGGAATCGGATGAAGGCCAGGAACCCAAGGAGGCGTCATAGAAAGCGCATCTTGGTGACGAGTTTGAGTCTGGCGAAATTGGCTGCACGGGCGTCGGTTTTGACGGAGCCTGTGATGACTCGCCGCGCACACGTCATTGTCCACTAGATTGGCAATCTGTAAAACTTGCACACCGACAATCATGCCACGACGTTGCCGCAAACGTCCCCGCAGCATCGAACCAAGGTGCGCCAGCATCACACAGCTCACGATCGTTGGGGCAGACAGGCGGGCAGTCGGCTACCCAATTTTCCTCTGTCTCTGGACACTCGAGTGAGCGAGACGTGGCCGTGGCCTTGGCCGTGGCTGTGAGTGGCGACTTTGACATGCCGGCGACTTTCTCACCCGACCTGGAAATCAACATTGCCATGATTGATGAACCAAACTTGGACTCCAGTTTTCCGCCGCGCAGCTTGGAAGAATCGTCAATTCCAACGCCAGTATGGACGACTTTGCACAGCTGTCGCGGGCTCACTCGGCGCCCAGTCTTGTGCGAACAGATGAGCCGCCTCCTTGTAAGGGCGAAGAGGACCCTGTTGAAGCCAGGTTACGGCGAAACCGAATGTTTTTGGCGTGGCTAGGCCGGCACCTTCGAGAAGACGCACAGGCCGCAGACGTCGGACAACGGGCACAAGCTCTTTTGGACGAAAACATCATTGCTACGGAATTTGCAACACAGGCCCGCTGTGAGGGGGCCGGGAGTGGTACGACGGGAATGGAATTCTCTACAACAGAGGTCGAGCAGCAAGCAGAAGACGTGTCGCCTGTGGATGGGACTGAGATGGCTGCGTTGCCCAGGCCAGAGGTTCAGGGTGCGGCATATGAGGAGAAACACTCCACCGGGTAGAAGCGACGGTTTGAGAAGCTCTCTCATTTTTGGAAGTGGACTTGGTGTTGGAGGGAATAGGATGGCATAGCGGTGCATGTTATATTGCTGCAGAGCAGATGCTGCAACAAAGCGAGTCAACTGGCTAGGCGGCTTGGCGTTGGGTATATGTATATATACCATTTATATGCATACACTGTTTGTTTGTTTGTCATGTCCGGTAATCAAAGCTAGCAGGGGCGGCACGATGATGGTCAGGCAGTCTCGTGGGCCGACACGGTTTCAAACACCAAAAGCGACACGGCGAGATGGCATGCCAGCCGTGCGTAGCGGCGGCAAGGTGGACTTTCTCCTTCATTCGTTCAGTAGCGCCGGTCCATGTTCGAATTCATTGATCTTGCCGGACGCCGCATCCCCCGTTTTGGCGGGGGCGACGCAAATCACGGAGATGGCTGCCAGCTCCTGCAGATGCATGCGCGTCGTGACTCGTCACCGAGAATCGTGGATGCCCGGGTCCTGACCATTTCGGCCACAGCAACAACGCACCGCGCATGTAACGCTCCCGTTTCGGATGGGGGCGATTCAGCTTTCGACGTCGACACCCCTCCCAAACGCTGACGACGACAGTGTCAGCCAGTCCCCGGGACCTGAGGTGAGGAGTCAGGACTTGGGACTCGGCACTCGGTACTCGGCACGGCGCGGCGGCAGCCAAAGAGATGTGTCGGTTCTATTTCAGCATGATCCATCATGATGCCCTGGGCGCTGGGAGACTGACCTGCACGTCGCTCAATCTGGCCGGTGTGCCCGCGCGTCGGGTGTCCTTTGCCTTTCGCTATTCTCGCGGGCATCTCGTGTGCTTTCCCACGGAGCGACTGGTACGACTTTGTCAGACTTTTCCCTACTGCTCGGCCCCGGGCGGTGGACCTGGCTGACTACTTGGGAAGTTGAGTAGATGCAAAGTCACGCCCGGCCCCGGACGGTGGACCTGGCTGATTACTTGAGAAGTTGAGTAGATGCAAAGTCACGCCCGGCCATCCAGCCGCACGCCCGCAGACGGCGGTAAGCACATGCAGAGGCTGGGCCCACGAGGACGCTGCCTTGCCAGTGGCTACATGCAGCTTGCAAACCTCCCTGTTGTCTGATTTCCCTGCTCGTGGCCCCTCCGGGCGACGGCTGGAGGTTGTGTTTCCCGCCCACGCTTACGTGCCGCGGCCGCGCAAGTCCTTTCCGTGCGGTGGCATACTTAAGAAGGCCTGGCTCGGCACCTGTTTGAGGCGCGAGGGTAGCGGCCGGCGCTGAGACGTGCAACAGCAAGTCCCTCGAGCCTCGTGCACTTTCCCAAGGACGCAACAGACCCCAGCGCTTTGACGCAAAACATGGCGCGGTTCGCGGCGGCCGTCTTGTCGGCGCTGCTAGGCCTGACTGCCGCGCGGGCAGGAGGGCCGCAAGTCATCACGGGGCTGTACGGGTCCCCGTCGACGGAGGCCCGGATCGTCATCCACGACAGCGCGGCGGCGGCGCGGCCGGCGGCATCGTGGACGTGGACCTGCGCGGGGCCTGCGGGGCCGGCGGCTGCCCCGTGCCCGAGGCCAAGTGGGCCGACGGCGGGCGCAGCGTCGTCGCCGTCTTCGGCTTCGCCGTCGTCGTCATCAACCACCACCCCGGCCGGCCGTCGGACAAGCTGCTCTCTTTCGGCGTCTGCACCGACAGGGACGACATGGCCAACACGCACTCGGCCGAGGCGCTGCCCGGCGGGAGGCTGGCCGTCGCGACGACCGCCGCCGCCGCCGGCTCCGCCAACGTCCTCGTCTTCGACCGCGCCCCGGGCCGTCTGGATGCCCTGGCCGCCCCGGTCCAGCGCCTGGGCGCGGGCGGCATCGCGGCCGTCCACGCCGTGCTCTGGGACCCGAGGCGCGCCGTGCTCTGGGCCGCCGGCAACGACGTGTCCCCCCTGACCGGCGGCTCCAGGAGCATTCTGAACGCGTACGCCTGGGCGGGCGGGCGGCTCGCGTCGGCGCCCCGGACGAGCCTTGTTGCCCGGGCGGCGCACCTCACGGCCGAGTGGGGGCCCCGGACGCCCTGGTGGGACGGGGCGCACGCCATGGTCCCCGTCCCGGGGGAGGACAAGCTCCTCGTCACGACCGACTTGGACGTCCACGTTTACGACGTCCGCGCCGGGACCGTGGAGCACGGGCAGCCCGTCGCGGAGAGGTACCTGGCTGGGTTTCGGCCCGCGGGCGCGCGCGTCGGCCTGGACGGGGTCCCGCTGCCGCGGTCCGACATCAAGAGCCTGAGCATGCTGGCGAACCGGGACACGCTCTACGTCCAGGCCGTCTGGAACCAGACGTACGGCGAGACCGTGGGCGTCCTGGAGAACGGCCGCCTGGCGGGCACTCTGTGGAGCCAGATGCTGTACCGGTCGCGGTGGTTTGCCGAGACGGCGTGGTGAGCGCGGCGCCATGGAAGGGAGGCACGCGACGGCGTGAGATGGCGATGCTGATGGTGGGAGCTTGGACATTCGTGTGCGGACGTCGGACAGCGATGGAGGAGAGCGGCCGGCCTTGCCGCACCGAGGTAGCCGCGCCGCGGGCCGTTTCCGGCGCCCGGACACTCGGGAACCCGGAACAAAAGAGCCCGGCTCATTGTGGGATTTTTTTCATCATTAATTTTTTTTACACAATGCTCAGCGCATTCGTACGTCCCTTGCCGTCTGTGCATTCCGTAGACCTCGTGGAGGCCGACGACCTGCCACGCCGACGCACGTTGCAACGGTTGAATCGAGTCGTGATCCCGAGCCCTGCTATCACAGCCCCCGTCGTATAATACCCCATCAGGTAGATTGGCACCCATCAACAGGGGTCCGACGAGTCATGAATGCAGGGTACACGATGTAATATCGGATAGTACTCCAGATGCAGGTGACGAGTTTTGGCCAGCACGAATCCCCGACAAAACAAGTGGCTGCGTGGTCTCCGGCCACTCCCTCTCCCGCCGGGACGGACGCGACACGCATACTTGCTGATTTACGGGTCGGCCTGCTCCCTGCCGTGGAAACAAGGGCGTCATAACGGCGAGACGGGACGGCATGCGTCTCGCAGGGTTCCGTGCCAAGACATTCGCCTGCAACCAACGTGGTGTGACGGGTCGTGCCAGATGTCACAATTCAGCCAATGAACGGTGAACCCGCTTGCGGCTGTTCACACCTGTCGAGCTGTTGACCGCGTCAACTTTGGCAGCAAGGCAAGAGCTTTGCGCTCCGCTCCTTCCATTCATCTGGCGCAGCGCACAACTTGTGTGCTAGGAACCTAGCTCATGGACCCTCCGAATGCATCCCCGCCCCGCCTCACCTGCCCTACCTCGCCTCACCTCATCCCACCTCGCCTCACCTTGCCTCGCTTGACCCAACCTCACGTCGTGTCTCCCGTACAGCGCCTCGCTTGCTTGCTTGTACACATGCCGCTTTCCTTGTCCCAGATGTCCCTGTACCGCCACCAACCTTGAATGCCATCTGGCGGTCCTCTCCATTTTTTTCGTCATCGCCCCATCACCTGCGACGCCACCCCCCCCCCCCGGCTGGCCAAGAGACGAACCGACACATCGTCGCCATCTAAATCCTACGTCCTACGCGAGACTACTACATCCAACACCTGTCTGCCCGGCGTCGTCCTCTCTGGTCCGTCTCCGTCTTCCCCTCCTCACGCGGCATACGGGACACAGGCAAGAGAATGTGGCCGTTCACGCATTGCGGCCAAGACGGCTGCACTGCCCGCGACCCGAATACCACCGACTCCAGGGCGCTGCTCGCCTTGCTTTGCTTGGCAGCAGCCTTCGTCGTCGTCCACATTCTCGTCGTGCGCCACATATTCCCCAAACTGAGCCGTGCACACGATGAATTGCGCGACGGCGAAAACCACCATCTCCCGGCGCATGCCCCTTCCGCCTTGCGACAAGCCCACGCCGAACACGGCGCAAAGAGCTCGAGACGGAAATTTGCAGCCTGGACTTTCGGCGCCACCGTCGCCCTGGCATTCACGCTGGGCCTCATCATACTCGCCGAAATACTCGAGGTTGTTGACCCTGCGGCGAGGAATCTGGCCTTGCGCCTTACCGTCCCGGCTCTGCTTTTCCTGCTCATCGTCCTGGTCCCGTGGTTGCAATGCCGAGTCCTCATCACCAGCGCGGGATGGTCCTTCCAGCGCACGGCCAAGGGGTCCATCCCCAAGATGGCCTGGGCCTTGCGGTTCCTTCTCTTCGGCGCGTGGCTACTCACCTTCTGGTCTGTGGGCAATACCGTGCCGGAATCGGCCACCAAGGAGCTGTACGAGCGCGGCATCAGCCGCCCGTACTCTGAGGCGTTGACAAAGGACTGTCTCGAGAGGGTCGGCGTCGTCGGAATCTGCCTCATGGCTCTGTTGGCCGGGTTCGCGTCCGTCTCCACGCCCTGGCACACCTTCGTGGACGCGGCGACCCGGAGGAGGCGACCCGTCACAGAGGCCGACGTGCACCGCAAACGCACCGGCCTAGAGGCCACCAGAGAGATGCTCGCCTCGAAGCGCCACCAACTTCGGCAGCTGGAAAGAAGAGCCCAGAATCCGGCCGCCGCCGCCGCCTCGCAAGGCCCGACGCGCCTCGTCGCCAAGGTGGTCGGAACGTTCCGCGGCATCTCAAGCGACGAGGCCGAAATGCGCGCACTGAGGGTCGACATCTCCGGTCTGGAAACCATGGAGGCGAACCTCGCGTCGAACCTGGCCATGATGCAAAACCACCGCGCCGCCACGGTCCGAGCCTCAACGGTCTGCGGCCGGATCATGCTGGTGCCCTCGCACGTCTTCGCGGGCTACTGCGTGTACCGAATCCTCGCCACCGCCCTCACCACCTTTCGACGGATCCATTCTCCGTCGGCCACCTTCTCCAACAGCGACCCCATCAACAGGTTCCTCGGGCTCATGGCGCGGCACTGGGACCCGAAGCTGGACCAGCTCGCGTGGGCGAGGACCATCAGCTTCGCCCTGAGCGGCGTCATCCTGCTGGCCAGCGCAAACAGCGTCGTCCAGACGTTCCACCTCTTTGCCAAGTGGACGCCTGGCCTGCTGCGACAGGCGCAGGCGAACCTGGCTCTGGTAGTTGGACAAGTCACGGCCACATATGTCATCTCGGCGTCGCTGTTGCTGAGAAGCCAATTACCAGCCACGGCGGGAGCGGCCCTCACCGGCATACTTCAAGGCGCCCTGAGTCCGTCCTTTGTGGACCACTGGTTTGAGATGTGGTTCCTGCTGGGGAGCGTCTTGACCCTGCTCGGGGTCTGGATGGGACGGAGGTTGTCCCGGGGCTTCGGCGACGATGAGTGGGACGACTACGGAGCGGAAGAGATGGGAGCGAAGCGGTCGTAGCCGGCCCGGACTTGGACACGCGAGCACGTCTGTAGACGGGACCTGTCTCTCCTGGCGTTGGGGTCGGCGAGTATCAATATTTTGTAGTTATCTAGGCCAGGGGTCCTCTATAGGTGTATCGGAACCGGGCTTCACGCCTCGCTGCTCGTTCAGCACTCTCTCTCTGTGCGTCGTGCTCCATCCCATGCTCTCTTCCACGGCCGCCTCGGGGCCGGGCCGAGCCGAGCCTCACCACCATTCAGCCGTCTCGCCATCAAGGCCCCTTGTTCGCCTTGCCCCCAAACTTGGCCATTAGCCTCGGGGCGTCTGTCTCCTCCTCCTCCTCCTCCTCCTCCTCTTTCCCCTCCGTCTCCCCCGTCTCCCCCGTCTCCTCCCCCTCCCTCTCCTCGTACACCCTGAACCCTTCCAGGATACTCCTCCGGCCGCCCTCGCTCACGAACCCAATCTCCTCGCCGTCCGCCCACCGGCCAGCCTCGACCTCGGCCCGCGTCGCCCACGCCCAGCGGTCATGCTCCCTCTCGTCCAGCCTCACCACGCCCCCGCCGTCCAAGTCCTCGTGCACGTCCACCACAACCGTCACCTTGCCCCACCTCAGCCTGCCCTCGCCCCGGCCCCCGTCCGGCTCCCAGAACGTCACCGTCCTCGCGTCGTCGCCTGCCTCCTCCCTCGCGGCCTCGCGGGCCCCCCCCGGGGACCCCGTGGCCCCCGTGGCCCCCGGGCCCGGCGGCGCCATCCCCACGACGCACAGCATCCCGCGGGCCCGCAGCCCCGTCTCCTCCCACAGCTCGCGCCGCACGCCGTCCAGCACGCTCCCGTCCTTGCGGTCCGACGTCGTGCCCCCCGGGACCTCCCACCGCAGGGGGTAGGTGTCGCTCGGGGCCCGGCGCAGGAGGAGCATCTGCGCCGGCGCCGGTGCCCGGAACACCATGGCCGCGGCCATGAGGCGCTGCACGTGCGGCCGCGCCGAGAGGAACTGCGACGGCGGGCACTGCAGACTCGGGGGGATGGCGGCCGACACGGTGTATGACCCGGCCATTTGGGGGTGTTGGCGGTTGCGTCGAGGTGTGTCTGTGTGTTGCGTGTGTGTGTGTGTGTGTTTACGCCTTGTGCGGCCTGAGGCGGGTGTGTGTATGTGTGAAGAGAGGGGTCCGTACGAACCAGTGCTCGATAAGCAGGTAGGTACTTGGGTACTTACCTAGGTACTTGCCTACCAGTACTCTGTTACGACCCTTACTCAAGTCCTCAAGTCCTTAGGTACTTGGTAAGCAACGCCTACCAACTCAAGCACTCATGTACTTATCTGGGCAGGTTCCAAGCACACATCCCTGCTCACAGCTGCCGCCCCACATCGAACGAGCCAAAACACACAGAAACCGCCAGACTGGCAAGCAAAGAGATATATATTACCAAATCAAAGGCACTCTGCACCGCAAGATTCCCAGTCCCAGTCCCAGTCCCAGTCCCAACCACCCACCCATCCGTTCATCCATCCACCTCTCTACTTTCTACTCTCGCACGCTCGCACGCACGCTCGCTTCGCCCCCTGCTCGCCCCCTTCTGCCTGCCAGAAACAGACCACGGATCGCACATCGCCATGCCGGTATGTCGTCAAGCTCGTCAGTCATGTGTTTCATAGCATGCACCCCTTCGTCGGCGCGGTGCAAAGATGGGAACCTGAAGAGAGAGAAGAAAGAAGAATTCTCCAGGCGTCCATGGACGCACGCCAACAAGGCCCTCTGCGTCGGGGGCGTTGAATCAGGGCGGCAGCGTTGAAGGGGCGAAGAAAAGGGGGAAAAGAGGGCAGTGGGCTCATGTATCCCAGAAACAAAAAGGACCATGTGAATTTTTTGATTTTTTTTTTTCGCGTTTCGCATTTTCCCTCATCAGACAGATGTAAATATCAGTGTCCTTGTCCCTCTCTCTCTCTTCCTCACCCCAGGACGAGGACAAAACACACGAGCTTCAAGGCGTTGGAGAAGAAGGGAAAAAAAATTCATGAGAGGTCTGGAATCCATGGGCGCTATCTTGCGACGGCATCTATAGTCGTTAAAATGAGATACGGGGGATAAAGGGAGGAAAATAAAAGAAAATCGAGGGATTACAGGCAAGAAAAATAACGCGGGAGAGAAGGGCGTGACTAGGATGTACAATCTCTTCTGTTCTTTTCTTCTCGTCTCTTCCCTATTACGCCAGCGGGCGTCCCTGACGCCCCTTTTTCGGCACAGTTGTCCATCCATCCTCGTCCACGGGGGTGGCCTCGCCCTCGCCTGACCCCTGGGTAGCGGAAGCTTGCTGGTCTCGTGCTCCGTTGGCACGCGGTCCTCCTCGACCTTCGTTACGGTGTCCTCGGCCTGCGCCGCCACGGCCCCGACCACCGCCGGGGGCCCCGCGGGCGGTGCGTTGCTCGTTGGAGGCCATTCTCCAATTTCCAGACTCTGTAGCCCTTGACTTGAAGGGCTCCTTGGGTTCCCGGGACTCCCGGCTTCGGTGCGCCGGGTGCGCCCCTTTCTGCTCTGCCGACGCTCCGTTCTGCTCCTCGCCAGCCTCGCTCTCGGCGGGCTTGGCCTCTGTCTTCTTGGCTTCGTTGGCCTGTGCAGCAGCGGCGGCGGCGGCGGCGGCGGCTTCGGCTTCCTCCTTCTCCGCGGCAGCCTGCTTGGCAAGTCGTCGCTCCTCCTTTGCTTTTTCCTCGGCTTCTCGCCTCTCGCGGATGGCAATCTGGCGCCGCTCCTCAATTTCTTGCTCCCGGGCCGCTGTGTCGATGGGTCGGGCAGCTCCGAATGGGCTGGCCTTGGAATCGCTGTTTGACGGTGTGGCAGAAGTATCAGTATTCTCGGTGACACTTCGCTTCTGCAGGTTCAGGCGAGGGCGCACGGCTTGGGCAGCGAGTGCAGGTGCGGGAGGGGTGGTAGTCTCGGTCTCTTCTTGTAACTTGGCAGCATCAGGGCGCATGCTAGAGCGCCACTGGAGATCCTTCTCCGCAGCGGTAGGAGCACGCTCATTGTGCTCTCGTCGAGGAGGCCGCGAACCGTCCTGTCGTCCCTCACCCCAAGAGGCAGAGCCTTGACGGGATCCACGGTGAGATCCGCCCCGCTCGCCCATGCCTTCGGGAGCAGGTCGGGATCGACTACCATCACGAGGCCCAGGGCCGCCCTCCTGAGGCGACAAAGGGGCAAGAGGTCCGCGTCGTTCCCAGGTCATCTCGCGGGGGGCGCGAGGTTCAGCGGCGGGTTCACGGGGAGGGCGACGCTCACGGTCACCAAAGTCAGAACCGGCACGACCGCCACGTCCAGGCAGGTCGGGGAGAGGCCCCTTGCGAGTCCAGTCACTGAGATCGCGAGAGGATTCGGCGCCGCGGCTGTCACCACCGCGAGCTGCATGTCGTCAGCTTACCCATAAAAACATTACCGGACGTAGGTGACGGCATCAACTTACGAGGATCGGCAATCTTAATCTTGATCATTCGTCCATTGAAGGATTCTCCATCAAGGGTCAAGGCCTTCTTGAGGCCCTCGATATCAGCAAACTCGACATACCCGAAGCCCTTGGGACGCTGCATCTCACGGTCCTCAATGAGGCGAACGCTGACAACCTCGCAGCCATCAAAGAATTCGGTGACGCTCTCACTGGTAGCGTCATAGGCAAGGTTACCAAGGTGTGCAGTGAATGGGGGCTTATCGGGAAGTCTCTGCGGAAGGTTCTCCCGGATGGAGGAGTATCCTGGGTTGGGGTTAGCGATCCGAGTTGACGATCTGACACATCCCGAGTACTGACCCCTTTCCTGCCAATTCGACGTGCCACTGTTGCCACCTCCAAAGCGAGGCCGGTCGCTCGGGGGAAGAGGCTGAGTGCCTATTCACATGTAGTAATTAACATCACTGCTACGCGTCGCGGCATATCGGGGATGTAATCGTACCGGTTACTGCGAGCGAGGCGTGCACGTCAGTGATGTTGGCTCCAGCATGCCGAGGCGTACGTGTCCGAACTCACCGTAGGTTTCTTCAACTTCATCGGCCCAAGACCCTCCTCCGAAACCTAAGAAGTGTATCAGCAAACTGCCACGAAACAACATTCTCTGGGAGGGTTGGCGGCAGGGTTCAGGATGGCCCCGCGACTAGCAACGCACCACTGTCAGTCAGAAAGTCCCCCAGGGACATTTTCTGCTGTTCCTTCTTCTTGGGAGCTGCAGCACAATTCAACCGTCAGCCATACTCCGAGTCCACTCTCTTGCGTTTCGGGGTCGAGCATACCCATGATTGCGGCGAGGGCGGCTACGCGCAACCGAGTCAAGGACCGATGCGCGCAGAAATTCTTCGATGGACGAAGAGCCGAACCGAGCAGCTCTTGCCTCGTCAAAGGGGCTACAGGGACGACGGATTACGTCGCGGTTTCCGATTAAGGTGAGTTCGTCTGCTTCTTGGATCCAAGCCGAGGATTGGCGCGGGATCGGATTGATCGCTATAGTTGACAAGACCCCGACGAGCGTTGCCGGGCCTGGGGTTGTTTCGAGTCGAAATTTGCTCGAGCGTGGAAAAATTGCTGGAATGTGAGGGTTGCCTCAATTTTCGCCAGCCAGGGAGTGGGAGGCGCTAGCCCTCTTTAGATCTAGTCCGGGCGTGCCGATGTGCGGCTTGACCGGGGCTGCTTGGGGGAACGCTTGCACCACGTCGAAGGCTTTGGGTGCTTGGTCCTGCTCCTATTGGCCCATTCTGCCGACACCAGGGCTGAGTGAGCGGCTGCAGACTACAGTGAGTGATGGCGCTGTATTTTGAGAGAACGTTACTCCGTACGCCGCACTCCGTCAATTAGTAATTTGATGTCTGGGAGCTTGCTCGTGGTTAATCAGATCAGTTGAACGCATGTTGTGCGTCCGCGGCTGTGAGTCTGTGACCCACTTGTCACCTCGAGACCACAGAGATAAAGGCCACGGCCCACTTCGAGAAGTTTGCAGGATCCTCACTGCTTCGCATGACAGTACCCTTTCACAACTTGCAGCTCCAGCCCGACCCAGGAACCAGCGAGTAGCTGGTGCAAGGACGCGGCCTTCGCGATGGCATCAAGCGGCGATGGCGGAGCAGCAGACACGCAACCGAGGCCGCAAAGGCCAGGCCTCTGGCCTCAGGAATTTGTGGAGCTCGTTCTACCGCCGTTAAAAGTAGGGCTTTACTCGGGTGTGTCAGCACTTCACTCGTCTTTGTCGCGGCATCACTGAGCAAAATTGATCGAGTACGCAAACAGGTACGGCGGGTGTTTTGGCCGGGGTCGGCGGAGCAATTGCCAGAGACACCAGACCCGTAGCCAGCGGTGTATTCTCTGGGGTGCAATGGTTCGTGATGGGCAGCAGCTACTGGTGTAAGTCAAGTCCTACATGGCCATGATCCAGTCACGCCAAACAAAGTCGTAGGTCTTGACTGACACCCATGGCAGTCACCAGATCTGCGGCAATCAAAGTGTTGGGGGGCGAAGGAAGAGTGACATCAACGGAGAAGGTGGCTGTCAGCGGCTTGGCTGGTTCAACAGCGGGAGCCGTGGCCGGATTAGCTCGTGAGTATTATTCCTGTTGACGATTGCTGCCATTGTATCCCTCTGGTTGATGAGTCGTGACAGGTGGCCCTACGAGGCTTTTGCCGGCAATGGTCATATGGGGCCTAGTGGGAGCAAGCGGACAAGCAATCGCCAACCGCTCTTCATCATCGCAGACCAGCAAGAGCAGCGTCGGCAGCGGTTGGCTGTCAAGGCTAAGTCCGTTGAAGAAGCTGACAGACGAAGAGTATATGGACATGGTGAAGGAGAGGATTTTGAAAGTCGAGGTGGATATCGCTCTAATTGATGATCGAATCGCTGAACTCAAAGCGGCCGAGGATGGAAGGAGGCGTACAAGTCAAGATGGAAGTGACCAGCGATAGAGATGGCAAGTTGGGGAGATGGATACAAAGAGCTGCTGCATGGGGTGGGGATGAGGAACGCCTGAACCAGACGCGGGGGATGAGACGGGTATGCTTGTAATATTAGAGACGTGGTTGTGGTCGTTCGACGCGAAAAGGGATCGCTGAGAGAATGTAGGATAGGCTTTTGTGTAGTATGGCGGATTGGCCATTGAACTCCTGATGCCTGGTCCGCCGCTTGCTCGTTGGAGAACGCAGCTGATGATGCGGTTGCTTCTACGTCTCATTTCTAAATTGCTACCACTACAATTCCACCAAGGGGAGCCAAAGCATGGATTGACGCTGGCGGCCCGACGAGAATGAACCGAAGTCGTTGCCACCGTGTCGTGTTTTCCCCCCTTCCTTTCCACCCAGACACACACACACACTACATAGCTGACACCACATTTCCCATCTATCTGAGCAGCGAGAACTCACCTTGGCGTGAACGTCCCCGTAAGGCGGTGAGGTACGCGATGAATGACAGTTCAACGGGACTTTCACGGAGACCGTCCACGTATACCAAACCTGCGCTAACAAAGCCCCGCCGTTGAAATGTGGACAGCATCAGACAAGCCAAGGCCACGAAGCAACTAGACGACATGCCACACGTGATCGGCGCGTTCTACACACCCGACGTGAAGGCGGACTGTCGGACTAGCGCCACAGCAACAAACAAACGGAGGTCAATGCCGCGACACGCTGGTATTTACGGAGTGGTCTTGGTTGATTCGATAGGCTGGTCGGTACCCAATGACACTGCCCATGTGCGATCAGCGATAATTACCTGTTGACGGCATGGATGATGGGACTCGGGCTCAGTGTTCTGCCGACTGGCATGATCGATCTGTTCGATTTCGGCGAGGCCTCGATTGAGCATCCAGACGGTCCGCGAGGGGTGGACGGAGGGTCTCTTGAGCACTCTAGTAGTCACCTAGGTGCATATATGCCCGCCGACGCGGTACGGTCAAAAAAATCATGTCTGATGCTTCTCGTGGCGTTGCTCGTGGAGTTGGGTCCCGACAAGTCTCGACCCAGACAGAGTCTTTGGTGGCCTGGACCACTCATCTAGCTGCTAAATACTTAAGTACTTCGGTACTTACTGAAGTGCTTGTACTTAAGATAGACCGGGCCCTATGGGAACCCTGTTTAGTGGCTCAGGGCAAGAATATTTGAGGTACATACTCCGTACTTCTTTACGGAGTAGTATTTGGAGGAACCCAGAAAGTTGCCTCGCAGTCATCAATGACGAGTACTCCTCCGCGGTCTTGCAACCGCAGCGGTACGTACTTCGCGGGAACTTGGAAGTGGTCTACTGATCGAATGACAGACAGACAGGTGGGAGGAGGTGGTGGGGGCGAGTGAAAGGTTCCGTCCGCTCCGCAACATTTCAAGTGTCAACAATGAACAGAAGTAAGTACCTGTACCTACCTACTTACCTAGGTAGGTACCTAGGTAAGTACCTAGGTAAGTAGGTAGGCTTTCTACTAGTAGCACCAATTATTTGCGGCGCTGCATTATTCTTGCCGTTCACCACTACTTTGTTTGGCCATGCTGACTGCCTATTTGCTGCTTGAGCTTGTTGCATGTTGCACGTTGCATGCACGTTGACCTTTGGTCAAATCATGCATGCCATGTTCTGAAGCCTCCAGTCTGTCTTGTCCGCGCCGCTTGCCCCATCCCTGTCTGCTCCGAGGAGTCTTCCCAGGACGGAGTACAGACTACTTGTATAGCTGTCTGGGGTACATGCGAGCCCTACCCACGTGCCCCGGCATGGTGGTTGTCGGTAGGCCGCGCGCCAGTACCGGTACCCCAAATCCAAGTACCCGGTGCTCCACGGAGCCTCAGGAGTCGGAACAGCCTGCGCGGAATGCTCAAGCACCCAAGCGCGGCGTTGCCAGTGACGATCAGAGCCAGCTAACAGCTGTACGGAGGAGCTGCATCAGACATCCCCAAGCCCCAAGCCCACATGCATCTTTCTTCTCCAACCTCCGTATCCCAGCCATATTTTTGGCCACCGACGTCCCTTCTGCTGTTGCCTACACGAGCCTTTGAGCGCCCCTGCGAGTCTCGAGACACCTCGCCGCTTTGGGACTTGCAGACGACTCCCACGTTCTTCTTCTGTCCGTTGCGACGATAAATCTGGTCAAGAAACAGGAACAGGAAGTCGGCTGGAGAGAGAGAGCTCTCCCACGGCCCGCCAGCCTCTGTCTATCCCGCCCCGACTCATCGGCCACATATCCCGGGCTGCCATCTCCTCATCCTGCGCGCACTCTCACCACGCCCATCTGCTGTGTCATTCCGGGGAAACGGCCTTGGGCACCGGCATAGTCGGATCGGGGCGCACTCGGGAACTTTGTGTCGCCAGGGGACTTAGTCTGGGGCTGCCGCCTAGTACGGACCATCCACCGTGCATGCAGCCTCAGCCCAAACTCGATACTCCCCCGACTCGACCATCGCGACCTCGAAATCTGTATACCTCGCTGTATCTGGCACACAACTGGTATTGGCCATGGCGCCCCGCTGCTGTGCCTGCCAGTGACAGAAACCCCCTCCCGGGTTGACCAATCTTCTGCACCGACGACATACGTTCTGTTCGTGCTTCAGAATGCGCGCTGTTACACGCTTTGCTCTGAAACTCACCTCACAGGACCACAGGCTTTGAGAGGTTGTAGTCCCGGGTACGCCCTGAGCTTTCGGGACCGAAACACATATTCACATACCATGGCCCTTCTCAGTCCGACTTTCCTCCTGGGAGTGCTCGTCCTGCTGTACCTGTCGTCCTTTGTCTTTTTCGCAATCATTCGAATCCTCACTGGCGTCTCCATACAGCGAATTGGCTATCTATCGCTACGCCGACTCGCCTACACCCCCCGAGATGGCTGCAGAGTCGAGATAAGAGGCCTGGGACTCAACATACACCGGCCGACTTTTGCCCAGCCGACTTGGATAAGTCTAGTTCTGAACGAATTGACCCTGACCTTGGATGTGCGCGACCTCGATGGACACAAGCGCTTCAACAAAGACGGCAGCCACTACGAAAAATCCGGAAACGAGGCCTTGCCCGGCGAGTCCGCGCCGCCGCTTAAGCCCCAACGTACGCGCCGAAAAGTCGACACCGAATCTCGAAGCAAAACGTGGCAAAGGTTGGCTAAGCTCAAGGACAGAATTAAGCAACTACATAAGAACATACAATGGCTGAGAATGATTGATGTGGTTGCTACCAATTCGACCGTCAACGTAGTCGATGTGGGCAGCTTCCAGGTCGGCAACTTTGCCGTGGCCGTTGATACGAGGCGGAAGATTGTTGACCACGCTCGGCTCTTCAAATCTCATTCGAGGAAGAAGGAGCAACGCCAAGCTGAGTGGATCATATCGATGCGCAGCGTTCTGTTCACTGCCGATGGGAGCGAATCGCTCGAGATATTAGACCATTTGTTGCTCAACGTCCATGGCTTCTTGTACGAGTTGCGACAAGGTCTCAGCGATGCTACCGTTTCCTTGAAGCTGGGACGAGTCCATCTGCCCTACGACGACCTGAGTATTTGCGCATCTCGATTCAAAGATTGTCGCAGGCAGTCAGACTCGGTTGACCTTGACAACCCCGTGGACGTTGCCCTCCATCACGTCCCCGAGGAGCCGGATCACCAAGGCACCCAGCAGGACGACTTGATGAGGGCGGTGATGGATTCAAGAGAATTTGTCAGTTCCATCCTGCAGGGCGTCAAGGAGGTCCAATTTGCAGTCAGTTATGTTGGCATGACCCAAAAGATAGAATCTGTCAAGCCTGAAGGCTCGCCTATGCTCCTCAACGCCTCCATGAAGGAAGTTGGCATCGATTTACACCGACTAGATCCGAAATCACCCGCCCATCGCATGTATTTCTCACCAAAGGACATTGCGCACGAAGCTCTTGCAGCCGCACTCTCCCTCTCTGTTGGAATCGATGACGGTCACGGCACTCCCCAGCGGCTTTTGTACATACCCATGACGACCACCACAGTTAGGACCACCCTTCCATCCAAAACAATCCAGCTGGCCCAGGACGGAGCCATTGGCGAAAAGAATGCAAATATTATGTTCGCAAATTCCGTCATCACCTCGCCGTCCGTGGACCTCGATCCTGCTCACCTCCCTCTCCTCATTGCCATGATGCAACCCAAACCCAAGGCGCCCAAGTCTTCTCGTGTCACAAACCATAGCGTCTTGTCCAGGCTCCTGCCAAAAGCGAGTATCAAATTCTCCATGCACGAACCAGTCCTTCGAATGAAACTTAAACCGCTACAGGACACGAAGGATTCGGATGATTTCGACCTCATTATATCTTCAATATCCTCTGTCTCGTTGGATGTCGAGTCATCACATTCGACCATGGAGGACATGCACTATTTTCTGGATGGCGCTATGAGGTTGCAGTCTCATCACTTGTACTACCAGACTTGCACAGGTGATAGATTCAACCTCATTACGACAGATTCCTTCGACCTCAGGGCACATTTGGCCGCCAAACCTGACGTTTGTGTCGAGCTTAGCGGCAATCTGCAATCATTTGCTATCAGCATGGTACGACCCGAGATAACCGACGGGCTCCGCCAAATCGTTCGACAACTTCGCATCGATGTGGAACCGGAGAAGCGGTTCAAATCTAAGACGGCAAAGCATCAGAACTTCCTGCGATCTTTTCCCGATTGGCTGGTTAGGTACCAAATTGAGGCAACAGACTTCAATGTCGAAGTAGCTGGAGTAGACGAGGACATATCAGACGATACCAGGGGTGTCACCGTACATCTGGACTCATTCTCCGCCGAATACAGAGCACATCGTCTAGATGGGCTCCAGCGACGGCCTGGAAGACGGCGTACTCACAGCAGATCTATCACGCAGTCCGACTCAGACTTGACACCGTCACCGGCCTCTCCTCGACCAAGAAAGAAACCACAGACTGCCGGGGACGGCCGTCGGCTTGCACTGCACGCAAAGGGCATCGAGGCCCAAATTGTCGAGGGCTCAGATCGTCTCGAGGTCGAGCCGTTTGTCAATGTTCCTCGTCTTGAATTGGCCTTTTCCGCCGCGAGTGACAGCCATGGTCCATTGTTCCACATCCAGTCTACAATCAAGACAGTCACACTGCAGTATTCTCTCTACCGACACTACGCAGTCGGTGTCTCTGTTTTGACGTTGCGCAGGGCCTTCATGCGAACGAGCCGAGATGCGCCCCGGCCGCAACAACACGGGACGTGCGACAAGAACTACCTGAGGCTACCTGGTAATCTGGGCATCCCAGATGCGGATAGCTCATCCACGGTAGCGTCGGAGTTGATCACGGTCGATGTCAAAGCAGCCTTGGTTCAAATCAAAGCGGAGATGCCCCACGAGCCGCTGATGATGCTGCGCGTCTATGGGCTTGAAACTGGACGTCATCGATGGTCAACGCCTTTTTTAACCTCAAAGGTCATCAGACTCTACGTCGAAACACCGCGCATGCGAAATGTGTGGTCAAGGATGATTGGTGTCAAGCATGGCCGTGTCGATCTTCGTGAGTCAAAACACAAAACCCCCAAAGGTGGCTATGTGGAGGAGAGGATGTTCGACGTGGCCACGGAAGCTCTTCGCATTGCCGTTCCGCACGAGGTCATCGTTTCCCGCATCACGGATAACTTTGTCAATGTAATAAAGTCAGTGAAACAGCTTCACCATCGATTCAAAACCGGCACAAATGAGTATATTCTTGAGAAGAAGCCCGAAGAACCCAAGAATGTGCCCAAGGTCTCTGTTCGCTCACGGAACTTTCTCTTGGAGCTCGAAGATGGTGCGTTTGAATGGAAATTGGGTATCATCTATCGCACAGGGCGGGTGGAGCAGACGCAACGACTGGCACGCGAAGAGGCCTTTGAAGCCAAATCTAGGAAGGTTCAGGATGAGGACCCGCGAAGAGGTGGAAGTAAGCTCCGTGCTCGGTCGACTCTTCCTCGCGGCCGTGGAGAGCATTCGGCCTCATCGTGGTTCAGAAGCAGAAGCGCGGATGCATACAAGGCCGACGATACCGGTCACAAGATTAAAGGTGGCACCATGCCTAGATACGACCCAGACCGAGAACACGTCGGCATTCATGGAAATGCTAAAGTGCCCGAAGCCGAGGCCCACACTACTCTTCAGAGGTTCAACGCTCAGTCATGGAAAAAGCGCATCGACAGGGCATACGAGACGTCAAAAAAGTCTATGCGTGAGCTGCGTGATACCTTCTGGGGCCAGAACCATTTGCCTGAGGACGTGGAAGAGACCGAAAATATCTTGGAGGTCTCTCAGCGTCCCGCCCTCATGTCTGCGCTCATATCGGATCTTCACCTGATGATTGACAAGCCTTCCTTTGCCCTGAAGGACTTGCCCAACTTTGTTCACAAGGTGGGCAAGGGAATGCCGAGGGATATGCAATATGGGCTTCTTGTGCCCATGCACGTTGCAGTTCAAATGGGCGAGGCCCGCCTGACCCTGCGTGACTACCCGTTGCCCCTGTTGCATATCCCAGGTCTCAAGACTGGGCAGTCGTCAAGGCTGCAGTCTGTGTCTCTCAAGGCTAACTTTGTCCTGGCGGAAGAATTCAGGGGACATGAATCGACGAGAAAGGTCAGAGTCAATGTTGTACCTCCACGAAGCAGCGACCCCAAGACATCCAACGAAGGTTCCTTCGCTATTGAAGTCCGAAGAACGATTGGACCAGTCAAGTCCTTCTCAGAAGTGTTTATGGACATCAACACAGCCCTGCCAACACGAATCACTTGGGGTCCCTGCTATCAGCCTGCCATTCAGGACATGATGATGGTTATTGAGTCATTCACAAAGCCACAGGTCGACCCATCAGAACGCGTTGGATTTTGGGACAAACTTCGCCTCAATACGCATTCCCGTGTCCACGTGGCCTGGAAGGGAGATGGTGACATGCACCTGTCTCTCAAGGGTACTCGAGACCCGTACCTGGTAACAGGAAATGGTGCCGGGTTCTTAATGTGCTGGCGCAACGACATTAGATGGCACATCAATGCCGAGGACGATCCGAAACGATTCATGACCGTGGATAGCGGCGAGTATGTGCTTGCAATCCCTGACTACAGCCACCAAGTCCGCGAAGCTGCCCGTCGACGTGACCAGGAGAAGGGACACGTGACCGAGGAACTGTGCGCAGATAGCGCCATTTTTAAGAAGGTGATTATGAAGCTCTCGGGCAAAGTGCAGTGGATGGCCGGCCTGTTGTTCGAGCGTGCCATCGAAAATGGAGAGAGAAGCTTCTCGTTTAAGCCTCACTACGAAGTAGTGCTGAAAAACCCCGTCTACGCGAAGCCTGATGCGGATGGTCTACCATACGACGCAATGAGGGGATTCAGAAGTCGGCACATCCATCTTTCAATAGCAGTTCGTGCACCCGTCGATCGGGAATGGATGTGTGAAACTACAGAACCATCTAGGAGCTACAACACAGTCCATCTTACTCCGCGGTTCTTTACCCATTTCTTCCAGTGGTGGGGTCTCTTCGGCTCGCCGATGTCGCTCCCTATTCGACAAGGGAATCTCTGGCCTGGGCGAGAGAAGAGCAGCAAGAAGTTTGGAAGGCATCTTGCCACAGTCAAATACAACCTGCTGCTAGCTCCCCTGTTTCTTAGCCACATCTACAAGCACAAGGATGCCGAAGATTACGGCGAAAACGCTGTTTCCGCGACTGGCCTAAAAGTCCGCTTTGACAGCTTCATGCTTGACCTTCACCAACGAAGAGAAGAGTTTAACACACTTGCCAAGGGGAAGAGCACGCAGAGTAGGACGTCCGGGATTAAGATTCACGCAGCCCAACTCGATCTCACTAACGCTGATGTTCGTGCTGTCTCAGCAAGCTTACGAGGCACCACTACGGAAGCCATTAGGAAGGGATCTATTTCCGCCCTCATCGCCGAACAAGATGACAAGCCTGACTTGTCTCGATTTACCATCCCTGATAATGACTTTAGTTGGATCGACATGGATGACTTTGTAGAGCTGGACTGGATCCTCCCGACCGAGCCTCATTCTGACACCAAGATTTTACCGCTTGCATTTGCCCCTCGCCTGACGTATTTCCGGCAAACGGATATTGGGGGCATTATTGCTGGCGATCCGACACGAACGAGCCCATTTGGCAACGAGCCCACACATTTCTGCATCATGACGCACGACGACGACCCGAGACGAGTACAGAGTCAGCTTATCCGAGAACGACTCGACGAACTGGGCGTTCAGATGCAGGCTCACTCCCGAAACATTGGTGAGGCAGAGTTAAGGGTGATTCAAACCAACGGCGATGAACCCGAGCATGTAGACACCTTTGACGCGCTGAAGAAGCATGCCGGTGTTCTCAAAGACAGGGAATTATTCCTGAAAACCATGCTGGACCAGATGCAGAGCAAGGCTCGCATCAACAGCAATGGACACAGGAGACCGTCAGAGCCATTGTCATCAAGTTCCGAAGATCTGGTTGACGTGCCCCCCACCGCGGAGTTTGAAAGCGAGTTCAAGAATCGATTCGTCATTCACAATTTGCAACTGAAATGGAACAACTTGCTGCGGAACATTGTGCTTCGATACATCCACCAAAACAGCCAACGACGTGGATTCGTCTATTACCTGTCGCGACCCGCTGTCAAATTCATCTTGGATATTGTGGAAGAGCAGAGCAAGGCAAAAGCCAACAAGGCTGCCAAAGGCGGTGTTCCCTCAACCTCCAGTGGAAGTACATCGTCACCCAACCCCAGTGTACCCGGAAAGGATAGCGCCACGGACCTCGAGGATCGCATAAGGAGTATTCTCGAGGACGGCAGACGCTTCAGAGACGCCTGCTTCGACGTCAATGGCGAGGTGAATTGTGGCTCGATTGCAGACTTGGAGAGCGGCATTGCGAAGGAGTTCAGCCCACAGAGCAGCTATCATGTCCGATTGATCGCCCCACAAATTCAACTCCAAAGCGAAAAGAACAAGAAACACGTGGTCCTCGTTGCCGCCAAAGGCATGGAGCTCAAGGTTCTGGAGGTCATGGACAAGGAAAGAATCTCCGACACGGTCAGCGGTCTGGTCCAGCGCCGTTTCCTGGTCAACATGGACAGCACACAGTTCTTTGTTGCCCATCAAAAATGGTTCCAAACAAGTCTAGTTTCCATGTATGCAGGCAGCAAATATGGCACGCCGAATGGGTCCGCTTGGCCGCCATGGGTTCCTGTGGAAGTAATGTTCAACTTTCAGACTGATCCCTTTGGATTTAAGCGCGTTGTTCAGAAGACATCCGCCATGCTACGATACGACAAGTACAACAACTTGCGTCTGAAGTACAATGACGAAGTCAACGAAGACGGGGGAGAGGATTTCGCTTCAAGCGAAAATGCCGAGTGCCGATCGGACAATCTCTGGGTTGAATTCCCGCAAGCACGGGCACTTTGCAACAGTTCGCAATACTATGCCATGTATGTCATCGTGCTGGACCTGCTGATGTATAGCGAGCCTCTGGAAAAGACGCGCAACGAGCGACTTGAGAAGATAATGCTCGCGTCCGACTTTAGCGACTTGAGCGGAACACCGCGAATGGTGCAGAAACTCCAGGAGCGCGTCAGACAGCTGGAGGACATCAAGAACCATTTCCTGGTCTACTCTCAATATCTGGATAAAAAGGGGTGGGACGACAGACTGGCGCTGGAACGAGACTTGGCGAGCTGCGAAGATGAACTCTTCTTCATGATGAAGGCCATCACCACGTCTCAGCGCAAATTCGAGATCGACAGCGACACGAATGCGTTGCTCAAGTGGAGTATTTCTGCGCGAGACATTGTGTGGCATCTCATTCAGGACTCGGCAGAACCACTTGTTGAGCTGCAGCTCAAGGACGTCGAGTACGATCGCACGGACAACTCTGACGGCTCCCACATGAATCTCATCCGTGTTGGCAAGATCCTTGGTCTCAACCTACTACCTGATGCCACGTATCCGGAAATCATTGCACCGTACAGCGGATCCGACAGGAACATCGTGACGGGCGACGCTGAACAGGACATGATCCGGGTGTACTGGCACATGCTCGAGGCGATTGCGGGCATTCCCGTCATGGATCGCTTCGAGGTGAAGCTCGTGCCGATGAAGGTACAGCTTGAACGAGAAGCTGGCAAGCGTCTGTTTGAGTATATCTTTCCTGGCATGGACGGAGGCAAGGCTTCAAAGGACGACTCGCCTCTCATGGTCAAGCATCAAACTCCGAGCGCAGACGAAGTTGAAGTTGAGTCTGCAAACAGCTCGGTGACACGTCTGGATCCACCAGCACTGGACAAGGACTCGTCCGAATTCCATACGAGGTCGGGGTCGTTGGAATTACGCCTGCGGCCGACGTTGACGTCAAACAATGCCCAAGAGAGCAGCTCGAAAAAGACACTCAGCGTCAAAAGCTCCGAGGGAGGCGGCCATGCATTCAGGCTGTTCCGGTCTGGAAACCCGGGAAAGACGGTGATATCCAAGAAGGCGTCTCACGAGTCACTTCGAGGCACGTCTCGACCTGGCGTGCTTGCACGATCCTCCACGGGTCTCTCGTCGAGGGATAGCAAGGACTCTGTGGAAACCAAGAAGGCATCTCGTTGGCGAAGTGGCAAGTCACAGGCAGAAGACAAGCAGCAGTCGGACGACCTCACCAAGATGATCGCCCGGGCGAGCAACTACATGACATTTGCATACATTCGACTGCCGTCGGTGGTTCTCTGCCTGAGCTACAAGGGGAAGGATCAGCGCAACTTTGAAGACGTCCACGACTTTGTGTTCCGGCTCCCGACGGTCGAGTGGCAAAACAAGACGTGGTCCAACCTGGACCTGGCGCTTGCTCTGAAAAAGGCGGTGGTCAAGGCCCTGATTTCTCACACGGGCGCCATCATTGGCAACAAGTTCTCCAAGCACCGGCCCAACGCGGAGCAGCGGAGCAAGCTACGGGAAATGGCAAGCAGCTCCGTGGTGATCACGCCGTCCAGCTCTTCCCAGCACTATGCCGCAAGCATCAACGACAGCGACGACTCGTCCAGCTTCTATGGGACCTCAACAATCGACTACTCGCGGTCCACACGGGCCGAGAGCACACACGGCAGCATACCGGCGCCTCGATCTGCGAGCCGCAGTAGCAGCGTGGCCAGCGGTCGGTCGTACCGAACCGGCGGTTCATCGCACAACGGCCCCGGCGCCCCGACTTACCTCTCCGTGACCACTCCCCCGACACCGATCGAGGGGCCCAACGAAGCCGGCATCGACTTGGTGCGTCCCGCTTCCAGCCACGGCCTCGGCCATTCCAACCACCGCCGCGTGCTCCGCAGCGTCAGCGGGGGGGACAGTCGGCCGTCCACCCGTGGCGGAAGCGTTGAACCAGCAGACCGTCGCAGAGCCGGTACTCCCAGCCTGAGAAACAGACTCAGTGTCTTTACAGGCCGCAGGCGCGAAACCAGCGGCTTGCCAGATGGGGTGGATGACGTGGCCGAGGATGACGACGGCGCAAAAGACGGTAGAACCCCGCGTGGGAGGAAGCTGAGCTGGGCCCAGGGGCGGACTAAGGCGGGCTGAGTGGTGGCCGCCGTTTTGGTACATCACACATGAACACACACACACAGTATATGTAACCTGTTTTTGTTATAAGCAAGGCGTTGTTTTGTCGTTGGCTCGGACAAAGCCAGTGGGAGTGGAAGCGGAAACGGCGGCTTTTGTGCTTTCCGGGATCGTGCACCGTACGGCGGTGGTGTGCATAGGACGTTATAGGTACTTGAAGCATTCACTGAGCCTGGCTCTCGTTTGTCTCGTCGACGTGCCGCGTCCCTTGCGAGGTTCCGTTGGCCGTGCTGTCTTCGTGTTTCGTCGACGGTGCTTGAAGGGCACCGCCAGCCGGGCTTCTGCTCTGCTGTTTTTTGACCCCCGCGGTCCCGGTATGTCCGGCACATGTCTCGACGGGCCGGGAGGCTCGTCACTGCAGGCAGTCATGGGCAGTTCTGGACCTTCAGTGTGCCTTCTTGTCACGCGTCGTGATGGCCATTCTGGGTCTCTGGTGTTGATGGGCTGACAAGATGCAAGTTTGACCAAGTTTATGGCAAAAAAGAGTGTCGTATTCTGTGCCAGGTTGATAACCACGTGCTTCTACTCGTGTCCCTGCTCTCATCCGGCATCTACGCTCGAGTCTGGGGATGTATGCCGCGTCCGGTGTGCGGCAACCTCGGACGCGCGATTGCGCGCATTCAGAATCCGTGGGCTCCCGGCGGTGCCTTCCATGCCACCTTTTTTTACTTGTTTCCGATAGCGGTTGCGCTCTGGGCCTCGCCACAACTCGCATTCGATATCTTTGCAAAGGGGACCTGTGTACGGTATCTGGAGCGACGCGGGAGGCATGTAAGCAGAGGAGCCACTAAAATTTCCATGGCAAGTACCCTGTAGAGACTGGCGTCTCTCCAGAGAGCATACAAACAGCCCAGTGTAACCAGGCCAAATGACGAATGCAATGTAGCTGCTCGTCAGGCTCTGTCTGGAGTGGACTCGGGAGAAAAGTCTTAAGCGCCGAGACGAGATCCCCCAAGCGACGAGGATTGGGCATGTCCCTTTAGAAAATGGTTACAAGAAAATCCGAGTCTGTGCGGGAACCGGTTGCTCTTGATCACTATCCGTTGCCTGGCGAAATCGTGTTCATGGGCTTTTGGCGTAGCATTTCTCTTGCCCTCAGGTTGAACCCGACGGATGCGGTTACTGAACAGGGTGCGTGTCCACCCCGTGATAATTAATGAAAGCAAGCCCGTCGCCCCTCTCTGCTCATAAGTCTAGACAGAGTTTCAGTTGGGACTCACGACGGAGACATTTTCGAGGATTGTTGCCCATGGTGAAGATGGGAGCGCGGTAGTCGTTGACTGACAACAACGGAGCAGGAAACGACCAGATTCGCGTTCCCGCCATCATTTTGCCGGTACACGAAGTCCTAGGCCGTGTTCCTTTACCAGCTAGGCCGTGTTCCGACGACAGCCAAACTGGCCAGCTTGGACGCCATCCGAACTCTCAGGCCGATCGATTGCTCAGCATCGTCCCCATCAAGGCCAAGTTCTTCAGTTGGCGGCACAACTTGACCCACGTCTTTATCCAACACTAAAGGAAGAAAAGAGGCTCCCAAGTACAAGGGAAATCCCCAAGCCCCTGCAGAGAGCGCCGTCATGGAGCCGTCCATATCCCCCCCCGCATCGCGCATTGTGGTGGTTGGGTGGGTATGACGGCATGATGCATGCCAGCATTGGAGCAAATGGGACGTCAGTGATAAGCATCATCTGTCTCGAGCCGAGTCGCTTAGAGTCCATGAGCACATTTGTTGAATAAACAATGGCCAAGGCAGAAGCAAGATTGGGAACCAAAGGCCCGCCTGCATAAGCCACGGACAACTGCACTTTGGCGAAGTGATGGGTTAAGCATGTGCAACAGCAACAGTCAAGCCAAGAGACACGGGCGCCATCGACGGAGACTTTGTAGCGTGATCAAGGCCATCCCAGGCCGACTTCCTGGATCATGTTGCTTGCCAGATTCGATTCATCGACTTTGAGGCGGAGATCTTAATTCGCCCCAAAGTGCATCACAAGCGCCCTCGTTGATCCTCTTGTGTGAAGGCTGCTGTCTGTTGATGCCTGTCTGTTTACTCGCCTCGAAAAGAGCGTCAACTCGCAAAACGAGTACTTGACTGATTGGTAATCAAAGGACCGCAACAAGTTATGGGCCGATCCACTGCAGTATTCACACGACGACGTGAGCCTTCACATCGCTCTTCAAAGGCGCGCTGTCATCGTGCCGTCACATCAACACGGTTGCATTGGGGGGTCTGCGACCGCACGAGAGTCAGCTGTTCTTTGATAAGCATCATGAATCTATTCCGCACTGTCGTGGTTGTTTCAAGGCTCGGATTGTACACGTAACTGGTGATTTGGCCGGACCCGATTTCATCAAATAGCTGAGATGGATGTCGCGAATGCCAAGTGAACATGGGCTGGCTTTTTTCATCCTGAGAGAAGATGCTGTTCGACCAGTAGCTACGCAACGCAGTCATCAACGTATTCCGTCTCTCAACGACGGCCTCATCAAACAAGCACGAACATGGCGGATGCTGACGTACACCCTCGGGTTTCCTGTTAGCGTTGTCGAGCAGGGCGACGCTTTACGGGCATACCACCACCGGCGAACGGGGTCACCTGACGACGATCCCGGTTAGTGGCGTCTAGAAAGGCGAAAAACAGTCTGGAATCTGGCCATGTTACTACCATGGAACATGGACACGCTCCGGCTTGACGTAGAGTAATGCCTAGCCCCAGCGCGTACGCCGCACGTTCCCCGGCCAGTCGCACGCGAAGACTTGGCAAACTCGACCACGACAAGTCTCTGGAAGACCACGGATGCTCTTTTTGAAGCGGCTGTTGTTGAAGAATTGGGCTCGAGGATGTCAAGTTTTCGGGGAAGCAGCTTCCCGTTGACATGGAGAAACCTGGCTCTACCCAGTCGCCAGAGAATGTTCTGCACCAGCCCCCCGGGCTCCAAGGGTATTTGCGCCTTGGCTGGGCCAGCATTCGGGGGAATATCATGTACGTAGTTGATGGTGGGGGTCTCGGTTGTTTGTCCAGCTGAGCTGGTAGCTGGCGTCGACAGAAAACGCCGACGCTTGGGACAAGCCCCCATCTTTTCCTGGATGCCTCGTGTCTCGTGTCTCGTGTGTCATGCTCAGCATATTTAGGGGACCGACCGGCTGCCCTAGGCTTGACCGGGTTGCGAGTGTCTGGGCGTCTGTGTTTGGGTGTGTATCGGACGCCTCGGCGCGCTAGGTGCCCAAAACGTGACGAGTCGAGTCAAAAGGTTGTCAGCGGCATTGTTAAAATTTTCACGAGGTGACTGAAAGCTGCAGGAAGGGTAGTCGTGGTGTGCATTGAGTGGGATGTCGGGATGGGGTAATGTGGTTGATGAGATATGATAGCATCGCTGAGTGGAATCACAATGTCGAGTCAACTTTCTTTGTACTGGAAATATCTCATATTGGCGAGCTCACAGTCGACTTTCCGGGAGCGCGACTTGTTTCTCTCCCCCCGTCAGGTACCTGGGATCTAGGTACACACAAGCACATTACAGTATACTTTTGCACATGACCTGCTGCAACGATACCTTGGGCCGTTGGCTGCCGCCATCAAGTTGGAAAGCACCACTCATCATCCAGGTGCTGCTTCCTTGTTGCCGTTTACGTGGCACGACGGCGTCGTCAAACGCCTACGAGGTTGTCCGTCAAGTATTCAAGTACCCAGGTACCTAGAGGCATGTCCCAAGGCACCTCGCCCCAGGCGTGGGGGAGCGGCTCTAGTCCCTCTGTACGGTCCTGGACGGAGTAACTACGTACTCGATACTCGGTGCTCGGTACTCGGTACGCCGCGTCACGCGAGGAGGCGTCTTCCTTCCCCAGACAAGATGGGCAGGACATGGCCAGCTAGTCATGGACTCATGCGCCATTGGCCAGAGCCAGTGCTGGCATCGGCCGTGAACTCTGAATGGCATTCAGATAGTCCCAGCACCAAGTCGTGAACCAGCCACAGAGCCGCCATGCCCAGCTCTTGGAGCTGCCCTCGAGCTCGGCCCAGCGTGGTCACGCCTCGTTGTCAACCTTGCCGAGATGCGTCTGGCCTGCCGCCGTCTTCTGACGATTGAGCACATGAATCGCGTCGACACCCGCACCAACCGTGTGGGCATTGACGGCGAGCCTTTGTTCCCAAGTAGGCTTTGCCTGCCTCTGCTCGGCCGTTGCAGCCTCTGAACCTTTTTGTGCGCTTGGGACTGCTCTCAGGCCGTGTCGGCTCGACAATCTGGCTTGTTCCTGTCACAGTCGGCTTCTGCGCCTCCCACACCTTCAACCAGCTGCTCGGCTCGTCGCCTTGATTCGCTGATAACGGATGTCGGATTGTATGGGGCGATAAACCACCCGTATCAGCCAGCAGCCACCCCTCCCCTCCTTTCACGGCGTTATCAACCACCTAAATAAACTAGTTCATTCCCTGGCGCCGTCCGTCATGTCATGTACTTACTGGTCACCCGCCCTGCGGCATTCGAAGTCGGCCCAGCAGCATCTTGGATCTTGGTGGTAGTATTCCTGTTACGGCTGGACTTCTCGCGCAGTCCGTCCAGCACACGGCGGGCAAAACACTGAGCTCGGCCTCGTCCGTCCTCGTCCGTCCTCGTCATCTCTCGCCCGTCTTGGTCCCGTCCGCCCGCTGCTGTCGCTTCTTGTCGCTCCCCAAACTTGGCCTCGGTTGAATCATTTACTTTTTTGCTCTCCGCCGTCGAGTCATACCGCCGTCTTTCAGCCTCTTTGCCCGGAGAGCGCACTGTCCTTGCTTGCCCTGGACTTGCCGTTGCCGCTGCCGCTGCCGCTGCCGCTGCCGCTGCAAGGCACGTCGTCCAGCAGCGACCTTATCGCCCTCCAGGCCGCCTGCGTCCTGCGTACAGTCAGGCAATCGTCGGCTTGATCTTTGGCTGCGGCCCTCGAATTCGACGGCTCCTGATTGGCCGTGGCCGACCTGCCCTTCTCGGCGTCTGGAATCCTTGTCCTGTTCTTGTGGATCCTTGCAGTCGACCACGGCACACCGCAGCACACCGCAGCACACCGCAGGCCCTCGCTCGTTACGTATAAGATTTCCGCCTACGTAACTACTCTGTACGCACGACCTCGGCTCCAACCGTGTGTGAGCCACGTTTACCAGCTGCCCAGGCTTCCAAGTTCCCTTCTTACATGGGAAGCCGGACGCTGCATTGCCCATTGCTGCGTGTCCGACTTCCACCCCCCGTCCCAGGGCAGCCATCTTTTGAAGCCCAAGAGCCACGCTGCTCCAAGCTATTACTGTCGCTTCCCGGGTGTCATCATTTCGGCCCTGGTCATTGTGTGTGCCAAGGTTCTTGGCCTGTCCAACCCGCTCGCTTTGGTGTGCAAGTATGCCCCCGTCAGTTGTCTTCACCATCTCGACTCCCTGCCAGAACAATGAGATCCTTCTTATTCTCGAGTTATTACCCGGCACCGCCCGGCCCGCCTTCGCCCCTCCCTCCTCACCCTTCAAAAGCATACCCTGCTCATGAACAGAGGGCCTTGAGGAAACCTACATCATACGACACGCTTTCTGTCGAGCCATTTGCTCTTTATCGTAGCCGGCCGACACCCAACTATGCGCCGAGCACATCCGAGGACGCCTCAGACGAACAAGAAGACGTTGCAGTTACAGTCACCGTCCAGCCTGCCGCGTCGACCTCTCCGAGTTGCTCACCCACCGGCTCGGCATCCTCAGACATCCATGTTGCCATGTCAGTACGAACCGCGTGTAACTGGAAAGCTAGCATTACGCTACCTCCGCCGAGTCCCCCGGGCGCCACCACCGGTTTGTCTAGACCGACGACGCCGACGAGTCCTGTCCAGATCCCCAAGCGAAGCCATCGTGACGCCCGCCACCATGTCAAGTTGGAAACATCGCATCGTCGACGACACCCCCGAAACGGTCATACCCGGGAGTCGATGTCGCCGTCCGTTGCAGCTCTTCTTGCTGTGACGGATATCCCGCGACCCCCGAGACGACGTCGCGGAGCCGATTCGCCTCTTACTGTTGATGAGATTGTGGACGACCAGCATGTGTCGGAGAAGGAACTGAGCTTGTCTCTCAGTCGTGGGCCCATGGATTTACTCCTGTCGCCGCCAGAGGACTCGATGGATGATGACCTGAGCGCAACCGAGAGCAACATGGGCTCCTTGCTCGCCAGGACGACTTCTGCTGACTCTGTTCCGTCCCTGGTGGGAGAGTCCCTTGCTACTGACACGTGGTCTTCAGTTGATTCGCCCAAAAGCATTGGCATCCCGGCGCGGCGTAAGCATAGCCCGGTGCGTAGGTCTCTGGAGCCTATCCGGTCGCCATCCGACGATGGCGCTGAGGAGCATCCACTCGCGGTCGCCGATGACCTCGGTCTCCAAGACTTGGAGATGCCAGTCGTCGAACTCTCAGGCGAGGGCTCTACTTCAATCTTGCAGCCCTTCAAGCCGCTACGGTCCGCCTTCAAGTCCAACCTGACAGCTTCTTTGCGGGCTTTACGCTCGGCAGCCAAGTCCTTTTCAACCATCAACTTTCCGTCCGTCCCCCCCGATGACTTTCTCACTCGGTCTATTCTTACCATTGATCCCAACGTCCCATACATGGATGAACGACGCCCTCCGGTGACCGAGGAGATGCCATCAGCTGAATTACGCCGCTATCTGAACCCTACGACGAGTGCTCGCATCGACCCTCCGCCAAAGACGAGCGCAGGCACTTTCTCAGCCTCCATTCAGATGCAGACCTACAAGGTCCAGCGTTCTCAATCTGCCCCTCCGTCGCAACGCGCGCCCTACAGCAATGGCAACACGTCGAGGTCGGCCTCCACTCCCAACCAACATCACCCAGGCCGACCAGCCCAACAGGCCCTTGCCGTCCCAGGCATGCGCCAACGGGAAATGCGGGAGAACCCGGACTTTATCCGCATCGCGGTGATGGAGATGGCGATGCGGCGCCGAGGGAAGCTTGATGATCAGAAGCCGGGACGGGCTCGCTGGGCTCTTCCGCCACGTAAAACGTCAATGAAGCCCTACGAGGTCGGCTCGAACGGCGTTCCGGCAAGGTGGGTACCTGAGACGCAGTCGAGCTAAGGTGCAGCGCCGTGGCACTGCCACGGAGGGTTGCGACGACCAGACGAACGTGTCGCTCGCTCGCTAGTCGATGGCTCAGCCCGCCATGCCCGCGGGCACCCGACGGGCGCCAACGGTACGGGTCTATTGGTACGAAGTCCCTCGTGGGAGCGAGCAAGACGGGAAAAGGTTTTCGGGTCTGTGCCAGGGCAAGGGGCACTGGACCCTACAAATTGGCAACCACGTCGTGGAACACGTCATGGGGCTTTCCATGCAGCGGCACGTTGCAGCAGCGACTTGCGACCCGGCAAGCGGGAGCACTCCGTCAGTGGAGGAAGAAACTGGTGTGCAGCGCAATCCGCCCGAGGCCCACCCGTCGAAGCATTTTGGAAAACTTGCCGAATGTTGCCTCCAAGGAAAACGCCGAGATTGGGCCCGAGCGCACGTGGGGAACGGATGGCGACGCCGTGGAACGGCCAACTTGATTTTTTTTTTTTGGTCAACGTGGAAATTCTTAGCTACCGCGTTCTGCAAGGCACCCCATTGTTGCTATTTTGAAGCCCCGGAACGGAACTCTATGGGCCTTGGTTGAGCGAAGGATCCCAAACCCAACCAGAGGTTCACAGGCCTTGGAAGGCAACGAAACACAGCTCCCTCGCGGGTCTCTCTTGCCGCCTCTCGCGTTTCTTTTTTCGTTTCTTTGCAAGCCAAACCGCCTTTTGGTCTCTTTCAGAGGCCATGTTTCGCAGCGGTGAGACGGGGCTCCCCTTGCGCTCCACTCGTCGTACCAATTGGCTCTTGGTTGTCGGACGGCATTGTCCACAACAAACATTTACTACTTCAATCTAGTTGCGACTCCACTCGGCACGGCGATAGTTACAGGTTGTGTTGGAGACGGCTCCCTCATTGGATCGAGCTGTTAGCGAAACAAACGCCGAGTGCCCGCGCGATTCGCCATGCCACGCGCGCGCAAGAGTTGGGGACGTGAAAGGTGTAAGGTGTCGTTGATGTATCAGAACCGGCAGTACCTAACCACCTAGGTACCACTATGCTGGCCAGTTGTCGGCTTTTTCTTTGTTTCAGGACAGGAGACCTGTCTGCCCGGTCGATTCCGTTTCTGGGATGGGGGGGGGGGGGGGGTTTTTTTTCCTTCATTTTATCTTTCGAAAGAAGTCATAGGGAGCGCAAGTATCAGGCAGGGCATTATACGAACAAGCGGTCTAGCATTTTCAGTACTATCTACAGAGTACGGAGTACTCCTTTTGGCTTTGGGGAATAGGGCTTGTTGTGCGAGGGTTTTTTTCCCTCCAAGGCCGTGTCGTGTCCATGATTGTCAAATAAAAAAATTTTCAACACGCCGCATACACTCATTGGTGCAACCCGCACCAACCTTTGGGGGTGACACTTCTGCACGTATGGCATGGCAATGCCATGCAACTCAGGATGCACAGCTACCCGACGCGACATGTCGGCCCGAGCTTGGACGATGAAGGTTAATCCCCTTTCCGGGTTCGTGGAGGACTTGGCGAGGCTGGGATATCACACCGCCGCAAGGCACGAGTTGGGGCCTTTCTTTTCTTTTTTTCTTTTTTTTTCTTTTCTTTTTTTGGGGGGGGGGGGGGGGGGGGGACTCTTCTGCCTCTTGTGACTTGTCATCCAAAAGTCATCTAGGAGCACGGAGTACTCGTGATGGCCGATGGCAGATGGCAGATCTGCCCGCGTAGGAGCGTCTGCGATGGCAGGTTGACGGGCCACGTCTCCATTTCCATGTCCATGTCCATTTGCAGGGTCCATGGCCAACAATTCTGCGCCCGTGCCATGGCGTGCCATGCCGGTCCGGGATACATGTTGCGACTTGCCTGATGGGGATGGGGACGGATCGAGAGCGAGAGCGTGAGCGTGAGCGTGACTGTAAGCACGGCGAGGAGCTGGCAATGCTCAATCTCGGAGACGGACAAGTGCGAAGCTCTGCACCACTGCACCGTGCCACTTGCAAGTCTCTCGAGTGGAATCCCCGGCAACCGCCAAGGTGCGCGGTGCGAGCACAGGATGTCGAGATGCTGCGAGAGCCGTGTAGCGCGTGGCCGGATGCGCGGTCTCGCGGTGTCTGGTTCGTCGTCGTCCGTCGGCGAGGCTGCCCAGGTACGTTACAGCCGTGACGATGGCGGCGATGACGGCGAGACATGGCCTCGACGGCAGATTGTCTGGGCAAGTGCGGTGGCGCGCGCAAGACAGCCGGCCGGCGACGAGTCGAGTCGGCTGCTGATAGGACGCCCGTCGTGGCCAAGAGTACGCATGTCTATGGTGTATGGTGTATGGTGTCACGGCATGAGGGTATTTTCATCCTCGGAGGGCCGGCCGTCCTCCTCACCTGGGGGGAGGAAGGGAGTGTTGCTAGATGGGATTTGGCCTTGACGGAACCCCGACCCCGTCCCCGTACGGAGTATCGCGGGATCGACTGCCAAGAACGGCACGGGTGCCAGGTGGGTGGGATGTCGAGCGTGAGGGACGAGACGTGTTTTTTTTTTTTTCCCTGTCCCCTCCTGGCCTGGCCGTGTGTCAAGGCGAGGCCGAGCGACGGCTTGGCCAGCAGCAGCACTGCGGCGTGAGCTGTTCCTGATGGAGGAATCCGGCGGCGTCAAGTACCGAGCCTGCCGGGGGGGAAAGGGCGTCGATAAGCCCATGGTTATTTATTGGATCGATCGATACGCCTGCCGGCTGCGGTGGCACGCACCCGGTCGGCGGTTTCATCGCCACGCCTTGGCCTTGTGTGCGTGGCCGCGGGTGATCTTGGCGAGAACGGCTGTACGACGCTGCCCCTTTATTTTTTGTGCAGAGCCATGATAACGGTCGGCCTTTGCTTGCTTGCTCTTGGGGGGGCGGGGGATTGGTCCGACGGCTCGAGGGGTGTCGTATGCCCTGGCCTTTTTGCGTCTGTTTGTGCTGATATCTTGCCGGCCATAGACGTATCTGGCCCGGGAGCCTGCGAGTTTGCAAAGTGTCTGGTGCTTGTGGGCTGGACGCCTCCTGGTGGGGTGTGCGGCGTCTATGAATGCTGCTGCTTTGTTGGAGATTCTGAGGATTGGGGCCGTCTGTCGTGAATCCTCGACGGGATGAGGACTGAGGAGGGGCGTCGTGGACAAGGTTGGTGAAACTTGGGCGTTGTTCTCGCGAGAGCCGTCCATGGAATACGACTGTTGTGCCAAGTACATTTTCGATTCGCCCGCCGGGCCGTTAGGAACACACCGGTGAGTGTGAGGGCGCGAAGACGTTGGAAAATGTCTTCTCTGACGATGGCACTTCATCGGGAGTTGGCCATGAGGAGTTATTGCCTCGAGCGGCCGTGGGGGGGGGGGGGGTTTCCAAAGATAAGTGCCCAAGATGCGAGTCCCTTGGTCCTGTGTCAATCTACTGATGATGAGACCGGTAGTATGATGCCCGCGGGCGACGTGAGCAGTATCCAGGCGTGGAATGCGCTCCGCTGACGATGTTGGCTGACATCGATGGGCGAGTCATGACGTTTCCGTCATCCATCTCTTGGTTGGCATACAATATATAAGACGTGGAAAAATTGAACAATGCCGTGGACCCGTAGACAAGACACAGACGATCCTACGACTGCGTGCCTGCTGGCATATGATGCTCGCTTGAGACTCATTTTTGATCCCGGCCTCCTTTCAAGTCATCAAGACTGCTTGATGTCTCCGTAGATGCTCCGGGACCGAGAATCTCACCCGGAGTGAGCATGTTTGCTCACGGGACTCGATAGATGCAGTACCAGGCAAATACAGCTTGTGCCAGCAGCAACATACGACGTTGACTTGTCTAATATACAAACCCTCAACGGCATGGCACGGCGATGGAGTGGCAGCTGCCCGGCGCCACGCTCCGTCACTTTCCAGCCCAGACATCGTGCGGGCAAACCCATAAGCCCCCGTCTACGACGATCTAAAAGACGTGAATCTCGGCGCCGCTCATGATGTGATGCGTGGCCAACTTACACCCGCGACGGCAACACCGGTGCTCCGCGTCCTTGTGTTTTTTGGAAACGTAGGGGTACACGCCGCCGAAAGAACAAGCCGGCCATGAAGCTTCGCCCCTGAGCAGCGAAACCCTTGGCGTGAACCCTTGTGACGGACAACCGTCGGCACTCAGGGCACTGAATGTGTCGAGGCCACCGGGCCAGGTCCTTAAGCGACTAGGCCGTGGTGCCAAATGAAGTCATATTGACGCCGGGGAAGCGCTTTTCCATAGCACCGACCGGGCCTATTGGTAGGGGAAAGACGCAGTTCCCAGAAATGTCGGTTTCAAGGGCAGTAGACGACTTCTCTTAAATCGGGTCGACACTAAAATGAGAGTCGTAGCTCGTTGAATGTGTAGACGAATGCTTTCATGCGCTGGCATTTCAGACCCTTGGTTGTCTGCTGTAGTCTGCAAATGAGCCGGTAGGGACGACGCCACACAAACCATGTTGAGCTTTCGTGTCTCGCAAAAAAAGACGAGCCGCGACACACGACCCGGTTGATATTTTTGCTGCTTTGGCGATTCCCCCGAAAGATGGAACGCACAAAGGAGTCCAGCCGATGTCGAGACGGTCCGATCGATATCCCACTTACCTAGGTATCTAGGCATTGGCCTGATCCCCGCTTATGGCCTGATGCATAGGTACAGCTTTCCAGATGGTTTTGGTTGCAGCCTGCCGGTGATGTTGTAAATTAATTGACGGCATTTCCAATGCTAGTGCCAGGGGCTTTATCGATAACCACCAAACGGGCGGCCAAATGCGGGGCAGCCGACCTCAACTTCAAGCTCGTCCTTCTCCAACCTCCATCTGCAGAAAGCTGTCACGGCGTCAGCTAAGCTGCGGCAAAGATGGATACGGCTCTGAAGTCATGGGGTACGCAGAACGCATCTCGTCGTTAGCACGATAGGACGGGCCAGACTGACGCATGAGTCGTGACAGAGTTCGACAATAACATCAGGCTGGTGGACCCCAGCCGCGATGCCCTCTACAACTACGACGCCCAAGGGCAGAAATCCATCAACCAAGAGAGACCATGGGCCCGAGACCCCAACCACTTCAAACGCGTCCAAATAAGTGCCGTCGCCCTCATCAAGATGACGATGCACGCACGGTCCGGCGGTAGCCTCGAGGTCATGGGCCTCATGCAAGGCTACGTCAACGACGACACGTTTGTCGTCACCGACGCCTTCCGACTGCCCGTCGAGGGAACCGAGACCCGAGTCAACGTGCAAGACGAGGCAAACGAGTACCTGGTAGAATACCTCGACTTGTGCCGCGCCCAGGGCAGACAGGAGAACGTGGTGGGATGGTACCACTCGCACCCCGGGTACGGGTGCTGGCTCAGCGGCATCGACGTCGAGACCGAGGCAATGCAGCAGCAGTTTCAAGACCCCTTCCTCGCCGTCGTCATCGACCCCGACCGCACCATCAACGCCGGCAAGGTCGACATCGGCGCCTTCAGAACGTACCCGAGTTCGCACAAGGCCGACGCCGCGGGGGGCGTCACGGCCGACGGCTTCCAGGCCGTCCCCCTGGCCAAGGCGGCCGAGTTTGGCGCCCACGCCAGCCGCTACTACAGCCTCGAGGTGTCGCATTTCAAAAGCGCCCTCGACACGCACCTGCTCGAGCTCCTCTGGCACAAGTACTGGGTGCAGACGCTGAGCCAAAGCCCGCTCCTGACGAACCGCGACTACGGGAGCAAGCAGATGCTCGACCTGAGCTCCAAGATCAGAGAGGCGACGACAAGCCTGGCGCGGAGTCGAGGTCAGGGAATAGGCGGCGGCAGCGGCTCCGGCGTCGGTGGCTCTGGCGTCAAGGACACGACCCTGGAGACGCTGGCGCAGGACACAAACTTGATTGCGACAAAGGAGAGGTCGGGCTTGATGGCGGCCGAGATCAAGGCCAGGGTGTTTAGTGAATTATTTGCCAAGAAAGAAAATTCTGCCGTCCGTTGACGAGACGAGGCGTACGTTAGGCGGCGTTGGCAGAATATGAATTGACACGACTGATGAACCATGCAACTGGCGGATCCTCGCATAGAAACAGCGCCGCATCGCACGCAGTGCACAGATTACTCAATGGTGTCCACGACAAGGTACCACTATCCAATAGTACGCGGCTTTTCTTTATGCCTTGAGGCTCGTGGCCCGGCGTGTCTAGAGGCATTTCGGTGTAGAGGCCTGGACACTTACCCTACAGCGGCAATTCGGCTTCAAAACGCCGAGGCACGTGTAGAACAAAAATTCCCAGCAATCTGGGCCACGATGAGACGTGAAAGATATGAAATGTGGACCATGCAGGGTCCAAACCTGGGCAGTGGTAGTACCGTATTCCGATCATGACTACAAATAGCTCGTTTCTGCTAGGAGCAGCAACGGCGTAGTTGTTCAACCTAACGGCGTGCCGGCATGCAGCTGGAATAGCGGTTGGTGGTTGGCACTGGCGCTGGCTGTTTTTTTCTCGCCGAACGACTTTCTCCTTTTACTACGTTCCAGGCGTGCGACTGTACATGTTACAAAGTCTCGTCTGTCTGCGTGGGCGGGCTCCACGCTATTACACGGCTGGGTTTTAAAAGGTGACCTTGTTTTGATCTGAAGGTCTCTTGTCTTGTCACTGTCCCGGAACTGCAAGTAAGACGCTGGCCAAGTACTTGATGCGTACTTACTTGAGTAGCCATCCACTTACCCAAGTACTTGGCATCATTCATCAAATTGGGAACCCGCTCGCCATCAGCAATGTCCACGTCTGTATCGTCTCGGTCCTCGTGTGGAAGTGAAACACAAAAGACACAAAAAGCGTCGACGCACGCGACCATGTCAACCTTGCAAGCCTGGTGGGTGGTCTCGGTCTGGCAGACTGAAGGACAACAACCTTTTTGCCACGACGTACTTGCAGAGTACCATCTTTAAAGGGAAGCCCTACCTGACGCCATCTTGAGTACGGAGTGACTGAGGGTCGACTAAAGTAGTTGAGATGACCTCACGGAGGCCCCACTTTTATGCAGGATGCCAGTAGGCACGACAGTTGCCGTACGTACTTTTCTGCGGCTTTCAAAAAAGACATGTTGTGGTATACGTTAAAGTGTTATTTTTCTTCTATAGTTGGGCAGCACTTTCAGTATTGTCGAGGGCAGAGAAACGGAGGCGTGAAGCAAAGAGCTGGCAAGTCTGGGGCAATTGTGAGGTGCCCCGTCGTCGAGAAATCGCTCCGTACTCCGTACTTGATGGCGCTGTTTTCGGTTCTGGGGCGCAATTTTCCCGACGAGGCTAACGAAGCTTGGCGCAAAAGTGCTCTTCAGTTCGGTTCAGTTCAGTTTCGATATCAGGACTGAGGACTCCAGCAGGGACCCACAGGCATGGAACAGAGAGCCACTAATGCACCGGCCAGGCCACGGTGCCGTTCTCATCTTGACGTCATGGATTGCCTGGCCCTTGTGCTCCATCATCTGAGATTGCTACGGAGCACGGTCGTGCTGTCCATCCAAAGCGCTGCTTTTTAATCTGTGGCAGTGTAGCGTCTGTGTTGACGGCAGTGGTTAGCAGTGACGCAGCGGCTCGACCGTGTTCACCTGCGCGTCCAAGCCGTCGCAATCCGATGCCAGTGCCGGCCTGGCCAAGAGCATCGTGAAGTTTGGTAGTACGTATGTACGGAGTACTTGGTTGGCCTCCCCTGCTTGCTGCGTGAGGCGCAAGGCATGGGGAGCATTTTGTCGTTGCACGGAAATCGCATGGCCGACATGTGCTCGCGACTCAGCGATAGGTTCTTAGGCACGGAGTACCCCGTACATTGCGGCCGTGACGGACTGCGATGCCGAGCGACGTTTGCTACGTGCAACGACCTGACGTCGCATCAATTGATCTGTGTAAAACAAAACGGTGTTGTTGCCGACGAGCACGGGGCAGCAGGCCTCGATCCCTAAGTTATAGCCAGCTTCAACCTACGCGAGCTGCCATGCCACAGAATGAATGAATGACGATGTGTCGACAGCAACGACACCCTGGCTGTCGTACCATTGATACCGGGTTCCATGCAATAGCCGAGACCAGGGGTGTCATTGTTGCAGGGTATCGCAACAACGCGCGTTCAGCTGTGCCCTCTGGCGAAGCACACGGACCGACAGAAACGGAGCACAATTCGCAGCATTGATGCGGCCACGAGGTGAAACTGGGAGCGCCAGGCAGGCCAACGTTGATGAAAGGACCTTGGCAAATTGCCAACTCGCTGGTCTTGTCTCGCCAAACGGCGAGGGAGGTGCAACCCAAGGGCTCCTTCCTCGTCCCCCCCAAGCATCAGACGTAATCCAGACGCCCGCGCCTCCATGCGATTCATCCGCCGCCATCTAACTACAGTCTTCTTCCCGTCCATCCTAGTCTGCATCGTCAAGCATGCATCATCACCATCGCCTGCAACAGACCCCAACGACAAGCAATGACCTTGTTGCGACGCACGCCGCACAGGGTCAAACGGGTCCAATCAGCTGGCCAGGGTGCATCTGCATCGGCTGGTGGTGGCCCATCGACGGCTGCTGCAGATCGCCATCTCCACCCACACCCTTCCTCATCCAAATTTCTCGAATGGAGTGCTCGACTCGAGCTGCGACTCTGCCCAATTCGTCTCTGCTGGGCAGTCGATGGCTTGCTCCGCACTCCGTACTTGGGTAGTCTGTGAGCAGTTACAGTATGGCTGAATCCAGGCGCCACTGAGCGGTTCCAGATGGCAACGACGTGGGACCTGCTTGGCTGCCCAGCTACTGCAGCATTATTCAGTGTCTCGCCCATGTCTCGAACCTTCCCCTGGGCTACGGAGCTTTGATCCACGTCACGTCGTCGGCGTTGCATTGTCGATGACGTACTCGTTTGCCTTTCTCAACGTCACTCGCACTCCCTGCTTGACCAAGGTTTCTGGCAAACCCTCAGGCCCATTCACGCGATCCCCCGACAATTGGATTGCGCTTAGCGCTCGGCTTGGAAGCGCCCCGAGAGAGGAGAGGGAGGGGAGGAGGAGATGAGAGAGGGTTTCCCCGATTCCTGTGGTCCGTTTTCAGTCGCTCGCTCGCTCCTGGCTTATAAGGAAACGACACCTGTCTCGATTCGAAGTCTTCTTTTCACCCAGACCATGATTCCCATCCCTTATTAATCCACACCCTCCCAATATACCCATTGTATAACCAACGAGCTCATCCTGTGATACCCAGAGACAAATCGAGGTCTCCGCCTACCCCATTGCTTTCTGTAACCTCAACATCACGAAAAGAATACCACAACTCCATCTCTTCCGGGCGTTGTAGCCAGTAATCAGCATCCGCAGATACCCATTTACCTTCCCAAACATCAGCATTAATTATAGCCCAACGATTCAAAATGGCTGCCAACGTCAACAAGCCTACCGATACCAAGCAGAAGGAGGCGGATATCAACCGAAAACTTCAAATCTACGGCATCTTCAGTGCCTTCAAGCAAGGAAAAGTCCCCTCTGTAGGTGACACGGACGAGAATATACGCCAACTCACCATGCCCTGGATTCACAGACTAACCCCGGCTCTAGAACGATCAAATTGACGTCGCCTTGAACAGCTTCCTCGCCTCCAAAGCACTCGGTCCCGCCCCAGACGGCCTTTCCAAGGATGGCAAGATTCTCGTCGCTGACACCAGAGAGGTTGTCCGACTGGCCAAGAACCTCTTGCTTTCCAAGAACGAGGGTAATTTAGTTCAGGATTTCATCTGGCAAACCACTCAGTTTGATCCCAAGTCTGTCCAGGGTCCGAATGCGCCCGTGAATAAGGACCAGGCCAAGCGTGATAGTGATGAGGCTCTCCAAGGTCTTCGAACCTTGGGAACCTTGCTTATTACCAACGGCCAGTTCCGCAAGCTGCGTATGTTTTCTTCCACAGCCTGCTAGACTCTAGACCCCCGCGCTGACAACTACGCAGTCAAGGATACCACTGTCTTGATGCGCGACATGGTTGGCGATGTCGCGACTAGCGCCGCGGGCCGCATTCGCCCATCGGAAGAGCAACTCGGACAAATTGACAGGCCTGCCGAAGACAATATCTGGCACGAAAAGCCTGACCTCTCCAAGGAGAGCCTGAGAAAGCAAGCCAAGGAAATCTATGGTGGCAATGCGAAGAAAGACGCTCAGGATGTTGCCGGTGCCGCCACCAATGCTGCTCTGCCCCAAGGAGCAGAGACTAACCGAGTCGACACTGTTGCCGCGCAGAGTGCCCTGCAGCAGAAGCTTGATGAGAAGGTGGACCCGGAAACCAAGGAGCAGATCAAGAAGAGGAAGGAGGAATACCGTCGAAGGACCAAGGAGTATTTCAACAAGAAGATGCCAGAGGAGCGCAAGGATCAATTAATCTTCCGCCTCAAGAAGATGGTACTCGAGTGTCAGCAGCATCCTGAATATTCCAAGGCTATTCAGACTCTACTGCGTCTGGCCGAGACCTACGGAAGCCACGGCCGCAGCCTCGGCAAGGAATCCACCGGCTCTGCCAAACAGGCTCGCTCGGGATTTGCAGCTGCCGAGGCCGATTTGCGTACGCTCATTGAGCGCTTTGCCAATGGAACCTCGACTTCGAACCTTTGGGAATCCATCAGCCAGATTTACAAGGACGCCGACAAGGATCCCGAGCTCAAGGACTGGTTCAAGACTTTGGATAACTTTATTCGCCGGTGCCTGCTGGAGCAAGGTTACATCCTTGACGAAATTTCTAACAAGGATTGGAATCGCATCTATGAGAAGGGCAGATTCTTGCTCCGAGAAAAGTACCGTAGCCACACTGACCGCGTCATTGATGAGGCCAAGTTCATCGCGGACCAATTCGACCAGGATGCACAGAACAAGGCTTTCGGCGACGCCGTGCAGAAACTTTTCAACCATCTTGGCAACGACTCTGCGGGCAAGTCTGTCTTCAAGCCACACCTTCTCAAGGATCTGACGGACACTATCCTCCCTGCTGTCCTGATGAATATCAACTACATTCCGATTCCTCGCATTGAATACTCGGACTCGCAAGTGGATGCCATCATTGAGAACTTGGTCCTCGAGAGCGACAACTTCATGCCCAATATTGTCGAGATGGCGAGCGAGCACTTCTTCCGCTTGGGCCGCAAGAAGATTACCAACAAACACCACAACATGTTTGACGTTAAAATTTCGGGTATTCAGATGGATCTCCGGGACGTCAACTTCCACGTCAAGCGGAAGCAGGGCTTTCCGTCTTTGTCAGATACGGGTGTCGCTGACATCTTGTTGCCTGGTAAGGGCTTGTCATTCAGGATGAAGGTTGCCACGGCCCACAAAACCGACAGTCAGAACATCTTCAAGGTTGAAAAGGTGGATGTTGACTTCAAGGGCCTCAAGATCAAGGTCAAGAAGTCCAACCACAAGCTCTTGTTCGCCGTTATTAAGCCCCTCGCGCTCAAGGTTCTCCGCGTTCCTATCCAGAAGGCAGTGCAAAAGGCTATCAAGGATGAGTGTAACAAGCTCGACTCCCTCCTCTGGCAGATTAAGCAGGATGCCGACGCAGCCAGCGCCGGTGATGTCGAGGACAAGGCAAGCTTCTTCAAGCGCTACTACGACGCGGCCCAGAAGCGCTATCTGGATGGCAAGCAGAAGACGGCGGAGGTTGCGTCGGACAAGAAGGTCAACATTGCCATGACGCTCGAGGACAGCATTTTCCCAGATATCAAGATGGCCGGCGGCGTCAGTTCCAAGGCAACCGAATACAAGGAACTTTCGCGCAAGGGAGAGAAGTGGGAAAGCCCAGTCTTCTCGATTGGCAGTGCCAAGAAGAGCACTGATATTCCTCCTGCTCCGGTGGTCGAGAAGAAGACCCGGCCAGCGACCAACGTGCATACCAACGGCAACACCAATGGTTACTCCAACGCCAACGCGAACCTTGTCAACGGCAAGACGCCTCTGGCAGCGCCGTTGAACGTCAATGCCGGCAACGTCCACCAGACCATCGGGGGACGCTAGGGGTGTGCCGATGAGTCGATACTATTCATGAAGAGCTGTGATGAGGCAGGCGGGGGGACACGGATGTTATACCCATTGAGTCTGGAGGATTCTCCCTCGTTTAATAATTGTGATACCATGTATTCGGAACAAAGCACAGAATAGAGCAGACATATGTCGTGCTTGGGAAGATGAGGGGGTGGGATGCGAACACTGCCGCACCAGGAAAATTTGAAAATAGTCTTAATTTCCTTGAGTCTCAAATGAATTGAATCTGTTAATGTAGAAACTCACCATGATCCACATCGTGTGGGCGTGCAGAATGTTGATTTGACGACGACAAGATGTCTGCCTTTGATGAAGCTACATGGAGGGGAGGTGAAGCACACACTGCGATGATGAAGCCAGAGTATGTTTGGACATGACGTGGAGCGTAGATGACGAGCAGCGATGGAGAGACGAGCACGCGGGAGCACTGGTGGTGGCGGACCAACCAAGGACTCGGACGGGTGGGGCTCTTTTTGTGACGTCGTCAGTTCAATGTCGAGTCACTGAGTGCGGTTTCCACGAGTCCGCACTGGGCTTTTGGTGATTTCAAAGACCACACAGTGCACACCATCCAGGCTGTTGTCTTCGACTATCCGGTTGCTCGAGCGTTGCGGCATCATATTTCACTGTCGACTTCCCTCTGCAACATTTTCCCAAACGCGTCCAGGTCGAGTTTCAAAATCTTGGGTCGTCACTGCTTCCCCGCCTGATGCTTGCGAGTACCGTGACCCGAGTTGGGCCCGCGTCTCATCGTCTTCATCGTCGTTCGCTGTGGCCTGGAGCTGGCCTCCTCTTGCCTTTGGCCGTTATAGTTCACGATGCCCGTAGGCGAAGGCACGGCGAGGGCGACGACGACAACGGCTGCATCCTCGCCTGGTCCTGCGACTGGGCTGTCGCTGAGGCAGACGCGAGCTCTCTTCGATATTCTCACCCACTACGAGACATATGCTGAGATATCAAGCTTCAAGGCCCCTGGAGCCATTGCCAGCTATGGATTCCCGTTCAGAAAAGAATCCGCGATGACGACGACGACGACTACGCCTTGTGCCACTGCCCCGAGTACGCCGCGCGCAAGGACGCCCATCGCGTGGTTTTCCTCGTCAGAAGCTAGGAAAGAAAGGCCTGCCAGTACCAAAAGTCTGGACGGGGAGGATGACCGCGACTATGTTTCGACGTCGCCTATATTGCAGCTGCTCCTGACGAGAATCGTTCTGCCCCTGCCCGGTATCGGCGACATCCCCAGATCGTTCTGGAATGTTCGCGTACAGAGTATCATGTCGAGGTTAGGAGAAGCAGAGCTGTCAGAAAGTTATGACAAGGGCGCAATGGGGACGCGGAAGACGCTTGCTACGGGGACGAGCGCCGTCATCGAGATGCTGGGCCGCGGAATCCTGGGTGGCGTGGATAAGCAGGAGTCAAGTGTGGATGATTCTGAGTATCATGACGCAAGTGCCGACGATTTGGGGCGCGCTTGGGGTAATGTGATTGAGGGACTGGTTTACGGCGACTTGGTGGATCAATTATTTGACCATTTTGTCCATTCCGACGACTTGGAGAGCCTGTCTCCAACAGTCAAGGCTTCTGTGCGCCACAACATCCTTCAGTTTGTTCTCTCTCTTCCCCCTTGCCTCTCTCACTTCCCCAGCGTTCTTCTCCATGCACTAACAAGACTGGATAGCATCGCGGCCCTAGTCCACCAAATATTCATTCTCTCGCCCGAGGGCCAATACCTTCTCAAACTCCTCGAAAACGTTCATTCCCTCGTCCCCTACACGCTCCTCAAATCAACGCTGCGCATAGGCAACGCAGCCACCATGTTGAGCGGCATGATCCGCATCCTCCTCGCCAAACTCAGCGTGGCAAGCGTGACCAACTGGGTCGGGCTCACGCAAAACGCAGACGACGGTATGAACCTCCTGCAGCGTATTGTGGCCGCCGTTTTGTCCTGGGACGCGAGTGAGTTTAAAAAGAGTGCAGAAAAGGTGGAAAAGGCCAAGGACGGCCCGACTGATGAAATGCTACGCACCATCAGAGAGCACATCGATGATGCGAGGTCGGAGCACGACACCGTCAGGGAAGCGAGCCAACAGAACTCGCAGTCGATCATCACAGCCATTTTCAACGCGAGGGATCCTGCGCTCAATGAGCGATTGACAGAGACTCAACACGCCCAGTGTCTAGAGTATTATTCTGCGCTGCTGTCCGTCAGGGATAGAGACTGCATCACGGGGGCCATTTGTCGCCAGCCTCCGGACATGTTTACGCAGGCGATCAAAGACGTTGTCGCTGCCTACGAGCCAATGATTCGGACTGTGCACTCCCATGTCGACCTGAGAGAACACTTTGATGCGTTTCAAATCTTTCTAGAAGAATTTATAAGGGCAAGCAGACCGAAGAAGTCTCTCGGCTCGACGGAAGAGAAGATGGCCAGTGTAGAGGACTACGTCGACCTCCTCATGCGGCATCAACGGCCGTTGTATAGATGGATCCACGCGTTGGCGAGTCAATGTCCCGACATTTGGGAGCGTCTGCGCGCATGGGGGAACGAAATGATTGCGCAGTTTCGGAAACCATCGGATCCCTCCTCAGATGTCCATTCCATACTCAACAAGCTCTACACAGACGTCGAGGCGGCCACCCAGCCCCAAGTTCTCGAGGCGATCAATTCCCACGCCGCCTACCTCGACACTGTGAACGCCATCTCTCACGCGCGAATGCAGTACCTGGTCACGGCGGCCGATTCAGCGGGCGGAACTACCAAGGGTCCGGGCATGTATATGGATCGATGGCAGTCGTTACTCGACGAGACGCCCATCACGCCGGGGACGCGAAAGGGAGCGGTCAGAAGGGGCAAAGACGTCAAGCACATCACCACAATGGGCAAGACGGGGCCCGGAGGCAAGAATCTGGAGCGAAATGTGGAATGCGGCCATGTCCCGGCACCCGATGTGAGCGTCGTGGTGAGCGTTCTGGGGGCGCGGTTCAGGAACGAGCTGAGGGGGCTGGCATTGAAGTAGGGAGCTGTCGCGACGGAACACACGCATAGATTCGGAATCCTTTTGTCGTTGTGACGATTCTAGAGAGCGCATGTAATAAATAGAAAGTTTGTCCACATCCACAACCAATCGGTCTACCCAGCGGCAAGTTGTCCGCGAACAAAGGAATACCGTCTCGGCACCCTCTCTCCGACAACTACACAGTCACTCTCGGCCCCTCGTCTCTCGGCCTCGGTCCACGTCGCGCCTTGTCTTTGTGCCCGCACACCCGGGGCCGGCGGCGTGGCGAGCCAGCTCCCGCTCGTCCTCTCAGCCGCCCTCCCTGCGTCGCCTCGCCTCACAGCGGCCTGACGCTTCCACATCTTAGCCAGGCCGACGACTGCGCGCACCACTCGGGCCCCATCGCCCGTCTGGCCGACGCAGTACGCGAGGCCGTCGAGGTACGCGCCCAGCGGCTCCGGCGTTACCTCGACCACCTCGTCCCGCGACTCCTGGGACGAGCCGTCGTCCGCCTCGTCCGCCAGGTCCACCACCTGCACTGAGCCACCGGTGCCCTCTCTGCGCTCGTGTCCCCCGTGTGCCTCGGCGGCCGTCACCCCCTCAGCATCGGGCACCACGCCCATCCTGCACTTGTCGTAGTCCATCTCCACGAGCCTCTCCCTCCAGCAGAGCGTGATCTCGGCACCAGTCAGCCCCTCCAGCCGCCGGACGTACTCGGCGCACCCACAACAGTTCTTCTTGGAGAAGTATATCTCGAAGCGCGGCCTGGCGCCGCCGCACCACGCCCTCCCCCTGAGCGCCGCGAGGTCCGCCCTCGCCACGCGACCCGTGGGCATGCCCGCCATCCTGACGAGGATGTAGACCGCGTGCACGGCAAGCTTGACCTCGACATGCGAGGCGCGGAAGATGCCCGCCCTTCCGCCGCGGGCCAGCCCATCGTACGGGTGGCGCATGTTGATGCCGACCTCGCGGCCGAGCCGTATGGCGCGCGCGGTCCAGCGCCGGTTGGACAGCACGGCGGACCGGGGCTCGGGCTCGAGGAAGTCCCCGCGCGGGTTGTGGCCGTGGCCGCTCTCGGCCCACGCGAGGATCGTGCGCGTCGGGCTGGTCCCCGGCCCGAGGAGGGCGAGGAAGCCCGTCGTCTTGCGGGCCAGCACGGACTGGATCCTCGCGGGGGTGCAGTGCGCCAGAGCCCGGGCGTGGGGGAAGGTCTTGGATACGTTGGGGCCCAGGACCTGGCTTTGCAGCGTGCCCGTCGAGGCGTCGATCTTGTGGTAGAAATAGAAGAGGGCTTCTGGGGAGCTGAACCTGCTGTCGAAGGAGGGCGGGTCTGTCGCCGGTGCGGTGCCGGACATGGTGCGGCGCCTGGTTTGGACGGTCTCTGCGGCGGTGGGGGGGGGGGTTTTGGTTGGAAGTGAATCGGAGCCAAGGCGATGGCGATTTTGCATGGTGTTGCGGCCAGGTTAGCACAGACGCGGAGGTAGACCCAACACAGACCGGGGGACGCCTCGGCGTTGGACTGTACAGGTGAGGAGTTGGAACAAGGATGCGACAGATGCTGTTGGGACAAGGAGGCGAGGTCTGGCGAGAATCTTTGATACCCAGAACGGTCGCCGTGGGAGGAGAGAAAGGAGGAAAGGAAGGAAGAGAGGAAGAGGGCATGAGGCATCGTGAGAAAAAGGGCCGTGACGAGGCGCGAAGATATACGCCGAGCTGAATCACTGCTGCAGCCGCTGCAGCCGGCAGACGGGAGGAGCGGCAGGAAAGGTGGCGGCGACGGTGATGTGAGGTGATCGGTGTCCATGTACAGCTGTCGCGCGTGACATCTCCAGCTGCCTCCTGATGGGCGTCGAGGGCGTCGAGCGGGAAAATCGGCTGCCGGCGACTGAATTGTTCGTCTGGTCAACACCTGCGAAGCAACCAACGTTTTGCCAAGGCTGCTCAACATCTGCCGGGAGATGGGCGTCGTGGGAAAAGCCAAAACGAACCTCGGGCAGAGCCGCACACATCCGGCAGTCAAGTCACGGCACATCACTGCAAACAAGAATCAGAAACAGACTCTTCATGTGGACGGGTCCGACTGATCGACCGAATGACCCAAAAGCTCGGGGAAATCTCATTCACAAGATCACAAGCGGAAAATCTAAGACCAAGACGCCCAAAGCCCATGCCATGCCACTCATTGCCGGAAAAGAGACAACATCATCCGTTTTTGTGCACAAAGAAAGCCTCTGAAATTTTCTCCTCGTTGCACGGCCAAGCTGACCGTGGTCCGAAATTTGGTGCCCTTTGGCGCGAGTTTACTCCTCGTCCTCGTCCTCGTCCTCAGCCTCGGCGGTGGTCTGGGCGATACGGTCCAGGTCACGCTGGCCGGACTGGGTGATGCGGCGGCCGCCCTTCTCCTCGTCCTGCTCGAGGACGCCAATCTTCTCGAGGGCCTGGAGGATCTTGCGGTCGACGGAGCCCGAGGCGTCGACGTGCTTGGAGGGCCGGGAGCCGCGGTTCTTGGCGGTGCCGTGGACTTTGCGCAGGCGGCCGACGCCGACAGTCTTGCGAAGGTAGACGTGGCGGGCGACGGAGGCGGCGCGGACATAGAACCAGTCAATGTTCTGGGGGGGCAGCTCCTTGGCAGGACCCGTCTTGACGGTGTCGACCCAGCCTGCGTGGAGGGGAAAAAAAAAGAACAAAAACGTTAGCCGACTGCCCCAGGGGACCTCGACGGAGAAGCAGGGCAGGGCAGTTTTCTTGGAGCCGGGGTCCAGGGCGAGTCCAGAACGTACCGGGAATGGGAAGCTTGCCCTGACGCTTCAAGAAGGCAGCATACGAGTCGATGAACTTCTGCGCCTGGAGACAAAGACAAAACCCATTAGCATATTCCGTCTTCAGAAGTCTTGCGACTCCCTCGCGCCTGCTCCTCGATTCCCAGTGCTCGTGGTTCAAACGACCTCGAATCTACTCGTGGCAGTGGAACGGCTGGCCGTCCCGCCGCCGCAGCGGGCACCGATATGCCGCGCTTTCGGGCATTGAAATATTTCGGTCTACGGCGACGCGGAGACGGCTCAGCGCATTCCATTGTTTGTAGCAGAGGTCCTGCAGAGGTCGTCTGTTCGTACTGGGTTTGCGGGTCTCGCAAGTCGCGAGGGAGGAAAGCATCTTGGCTTGGTGCATTTGAGAGAGAGTCGTCGAATTCGACATGCAGGTAACAGGGTACCTTGTTCTGCTCTCAGTGCGTCAAGGCATACTCAGCTCGGGGAGGACCTACATCGACATCGCGCACGGTGATTCCGCCAGTCATCTTTACGGTGTTGAGGGTGGACGGGTGGTTGCGAGAAGCTGCGTTGGGCGTGAGGTTGTTGGCGCGCGGGATTCCTGGGAAATGCTCCAGATGCTCCTGGAGGAGTGCGCCCCCGTGGGTGAGCTTTTTCCGAGCCACGCTAGGGCTTCACGCCCTAGTGGGGACATGGCCGCCTGCGCGACTGATTACATGAGCAGAGTGTCCTGTGCTTTTTTGCGGCTCCGTTGGGCACCGTGCTTTGACACAGTGCATTATGCTGCGCGCACGACGCACGGTGCTCCGGACACGCGGGCCTCAGCAACGCGCCAGCTCAAAGACTCCCACGAGGTTTGCATGCCAAGTTGGAGCAATCCAATTCATTATTCTACGACGTACGGTACTTGTGTCAAATTTCTACACCGTCGTTGAATCTGACAATTTCTTGTCGTAGGGCGTCACATGCAAACACTCCGCCTCCCCGTGTTCGTTACCTCACTAGTCATATATTTGACGATGGTTCATAAAGGTAAACGAGCATTCAACAAGAATTCCAGACTCTATCAAAGCTACCTATGCCGCGAGCGTGAAATGAGTGATTCGCTGAAAAATCTGACCACCAAAATGATTGGCTTTATATGGGTATAGATTGCACTAAACCCCCCCTTTTCAGTCCACATCCGATATGCTGATGCAGAACATGCTGGCACAAAAAGGACGCTCTCTAATTGCGTAGAAACAAGGCTCCCCTATATTCGGCGACAAGTTGCTCTTGACTCCCGGGCATCTAGGCCCATTTGGCTAACAATGCCATGACGATGACACCAAAGGTGACACATCCAAACGCTAACAATTGAATCTTCAGCGACGCGCGGCGCATGTGAGGGTTGAACATGAACTCATGGGCCAAGAGCTCGACCAGTCCCGTGTACATGAGGATCCCGGTGGAAATGGAGTCAAAGATGCCGTTGACGAGCTTCTGGATGGCCGCGTTGGTGGGTTTCGCGCCCACGCCGGCCGCAACACCCACGGGCGTAGAGAGGGCGAATCCCAGGGCCAGGACATACGGCAGCCACTGTTTGTCCTCGGGCCATTTGGCGACGGCAAGTCGGGATCCTAGACCAAGACCCTCAAACGTTTGATGGACGACGAGAACCACGAGCAGGATCCTCAACTCATCCGTCCCGGTGGTACCAAGTGCGAGTCCAATGAAGACACTGTGAAAAATGACACCGAATTCGAGAATGAAGATGGCCGTGAGCTGGCCGGTCAACGCGCCGTGCGAGGCCGTTTCTGTGCGACTGTGGCGACGCGCAAGATGAACCTCGCCGGCCGGGGGGTAGCTGACATCGTCGGGGCGTCCTGGGAATGTGGTCGAATCGGCGCCCCCGAGAGACCGTTGATTCTCCACGTCGGGCTCAGATTGGGCATTTCTGGCCCTTTGCGCCCTCGTTCTCTTGGTAGCCATGACCTCGTTGAGGTCGGAGCCAGAGTCGGAGCCAGTCGTTTGGCTGTGGGCGTCGTCGTCATCATTGTGGAAACGGGCCACCATGAGCTCGACGAAGAACATGACCATGATGGTCATGAGAGCAATGCACAGGGGCCAGGGGTAGGAGCCAAGCCATCTCTCCTGAACGCAGGCGTCCCCGAGCTGTTTGATTGCTGGATCCAAAAGATGCATCCAGGCGGTGGCAACGATGACGCCGGTACCGACGTACTTGCAAATGAAGAAGGTGAAGCTCGGAACGCGCACCTTGGTCTGACGAGCCATGAGGATGGGGGTGACTGCGCCGAAAAGGGATGCGACAAGAATGATGAATATGGAGGCGATGCGAAGACCGAGCATGCCAAGCTCGATGGGCTCGCCATCACAGCTGCTCGGCCCTGCCTCAGCCATGGTGATGGGCTGTTGTTGAGTGTACTTGGGGGTAAAAAGCCAGCCTTGATATTCCACCTTTGCCGTGGCCGCAGACTCGCGCGGTCTTTTCCTCTCCTCTTCTGCTCAATGACGCCACGCGCTTCACGGCAATCAAGTCCTCTCTTCGACTTGGACTTGGCCGACACGAATACTCCGGCACGACGAAACAACAAAGGATGACCACTTTCGATTCGGGCCTTGATGGAAATTTGTTCTGCAGAAAAGGGACCTGGGACACGGGAAGCCTTATAGCCTGTCTCCACGGCTCGTCGCTTGTCTGGACCGGCGCGGGCACTACTAGTGTCGGGCCCGGGCTTTAGCAGAGCTTATGATCAAAACACCTTGATGGACCAAAATTCAACCAGCACAGGTCCACCCGGCTTTAACAGGTGCGCCACACGCAAGGCTAGACGACGAGGTTGGCCAAAATCAAACTGGGTGTGATGGGCACAGTCGGCAGAATGATGCCGAACGCCCTTGTCGAATGCTCTCCTTGAGGCGGTTGGTCGGTCTGATGTCTGATACTCAGCTATCAAGGCAGTAAGAGGGCGTCGGACGGTAGCCGCTTATTCGCCCTAGGCTGCAGGATTCAGAAGCAAGATGCAAAGAGGGCCGGGTTCAGGGTCGTTTCTACCCCTGCTCTCTGCCTGAGCTTGCTGTTCTGTGCTGTTGGACAGACTGCGACGGCAATCAGGCCGAGACGGACACGAGGAAGACCACGGTGTCAAACGCCGCTCGGGAACCACTCAGCTGGGATGAACAGGGTTGAAGGCGTCTTCAACCGGCATCAGAGCCTGCGGGAAACGCCAAGGGGGAACGCGGCAGCAGGTTGGGGCTGCGGAAAAAAAAAGAAGGACAAGAGGTCAAGAGCCAAGACGCATGCAACGAACCCGTCCGCGGCTGCAAGCGTGCGTGGAGACTGGGGATGAGGGATGAGATGTGTCGGCACGCAGCTTGGAACATTGACAGGCCAGCGCTGAGCCGCATTCGGGCTGGCGGAATGATGAAGCAAGGCCAACCGACGTGAGATGGGCTGCAGAAGTATGCGTGTGTATGCGTGTATGTGTGTGTGTGTATGGGCGAGGCACGTACCGAGTCGTCGTGCACAACGTGACGCCGCCGAGAACCTTGATGGGTCGAGATCCCTTTTAGATTTTTATAAGCCCCCTTCCCTTCCCCCATGCACTCACATCCCTTTCCGAACCGCGCATCAACACCTCACCGCCAGGCCGCCGGCATATCAAAGCGAAGTCGTCCTCACCGACATCAAGCATGTATTTTTGCGGGCGTGGTTTTCTTGGCCGTCTTGGCTCATGCAACCTGCTGAATCGTCGTGACGTCTCCATCGACGCGCCGCCACCTCGAAATGAGCCACTACCGCCGACGGCGTGCAAGATGGTCGGTCCACTGGGTCAGCTGGCCGTTTCATCCATGCCTCGACTGCCGAGCTCTTTTTCAATTCGATTCATGATATACGTGCATGCATGCACACAAACATACATACACGAGGCACACGGTGGATCATCATCATCATCATCATCATCTACCTGCATCCCTGCCGGCCATTTGACGAGTTAGTCTCACGCCAGACGCGCGGTGCTCCCAGTCGCCCAGTCGCCGGCTCTGTGATTGGCTGCCCTGCCGACTTTGGCGTCGGAAGCGGAAAGGTCGCGCCATCCGGGTTCCGATCTCACGGCTCCGGACCCCGCCCGCGCCCGCGCTCCGTGTGTCACAGCCCTAGACAGACTTGCTCGCAGCCGTCGTGCCGCTATGGACAAGCCCGCTTGGCAGCCACCCTTCGGCAGTTGTGCCATGGATCTAACGTACTTGAATGTTGAATCCCATCTACGTGCGTATGTATCATGCTTGGCCTGTCGTACATTGTAGACGGGATCCCAGCCGCCTCTCCACCAGGAACGAACCATGAGCTGCAGCCATGATGCCGCAGCGCGTACCGAGGACACGGGTTTTTGTTTTGCCTCACGGTCGCCGCCCTCGGCAGAAAGTCAATGTCGACTCCTCCACGGAAGCGCCAGCAGCAGTAACACGACCTCCGGGCCGGCTTCTTCCAATAGCGTTAGCGTCAGTCGTGATCATCTAGTATCAGTTTCACATCTTCGAGTCAGCCACCCGTGAGGGGTTCGGTTCGCCTCCCCGCAGGCACCGCCTCCTCCGACAACGAGCCGGTGAAAGCTTGATGAAACACGTCCCGCGTCCCATTGGACTTGGTTGAAACTTGTCCGTTGGTCCGGCCCGGCATTGCTACGGCTCCTCATGCTCGGGTCCGGCCATCCGTCGTACGCCGCTGCCTGTCTGACTCGTTTCCGCTTTGGAACCAGACGCACGCGATGTGATCAACGTGCATCCATTCGTGGGTCAGCCCGCGGAGTATCTGCCTGTCACGAGTCACGACAAACTCTTTCTTGAGGCAGGCAGTCCCGGGCCACACGCACCGCTCACACACGTGTCGTTACGCACATGACGGCACCCTGAATTGTCGTCGACTCTGCACATGCCGCATGGTGAATGGCACCGCTGCCGACCTCGAGAGGGATCGCTCGCATCATTCCCGACAGGCAGAGTTCGCACAGCAGCACACACTTACTCGTGCACTCGTACACGACGCTCCATGGCGGCGCCGTCACGAGGAGAACTGAACCTCCATGCCCAACGTCCTGAAGGGCTTGTCCAGCCTCCTCAGGTCAATGCCGCTCCCCAGACTAAACAGCAGGCTCTTCACCCTGCCCTCCCACAAAATGCCAATCCTCATGTTCTGATCCAGCCTGGCCTTGAGAACCCCGGCATACTCGTCTCCCCTCTTGCGCTTGTCAGCAACGGCCGACAGCTCCGCCGGCGCCACAGGCACAGGTTCGGGCTCGTCCAGCCTCCATTCCAGCTTGGCCTCAAGACTCCTCTCCTTGTACGTCTCCCAGGGTCTGCGAGCCTCGACGCCCAGCCGGCGCAGCGGCTTCCTCCAGAGCTCCATGCCCACGGCCCACGCGCTCTCGTAGCTGAACACGTTGAACTCGAGGCGCGTCGCCAGACTGCAGTGCTTGCCTGCGACGACGGCATAGCTGGCGGCAACGTTGCCCATGAGCGGATTTATCGTCAGGGTGGCCGAGAGCGGGGTGCCCCTGTGCGCGGGAAGAGTGGCGAACCGAGTCCCGAGGCTGATGCCGCCCGACTTGTTGAGCGTGCCGTAGTATATCTCGCCGCCGGTGCTGAAGCGCCCGTATATGCGCTCCTTTTCGCCGCGGCTGGCGGCCTCTGCCGCGGGCGACGGGTGCGCGTCGCCGCCAAAGTTGTAGATGCCCCGCAGGCCGAGGAGCCCTCCGTCGGACGAGGCCAGGCCCTCGAGGGCGCATCTGCCGACGTCGTACTGCGCCAGGCCGAGGACGGTGCCCCCGTGGCGGAGGTGCTGCGCCGACACGGCGCTGAGCTGGAGCTGGAGCGCGGGCGAGAGTCTCCTGACCACGAGGGCTTCGAGCCGCGACTGCGGGAGGTACAGCCTGCCGTAGAGGAGGGAGGACTGGGGCCTGGCCGCGCCCGGCAGCGTCCGGACGGACGTCTCGTCCTCTGCGGAAAGCGGCGCCAGCGGGCGGTAGGCGCGTAGCAGGTCCGGGAGCGGGACGTCTTCCGACTGCGGCGTGAGGTGGACTCGCAGCGGAACCGACGAGAAGAGGTACGAGATGGAGCCGTCGACGACGCCGACCGAGCCGAGCTGGTACGAGGTTGCAAAGTTGGAGCTCGCGAGGGAGGAGAGCGTGAGCCGGAGACCTCGGGGGGTCTGGAAGTCTAGCAGCGCTGGGGACACAGGTCAGCGCAGTGTCGGGGCACAAGAGCATCACGGCGTGTTTTGAATCGAACAAGATCCAATCCGTGGAGAGGAGGAGGGGGGTTGGCCAACCATGGGATGTGGCATTGAGCGCGGCGTACGAGTTGTCGCGACGCCAGCCTGTCGCCTCGTAGAATGCGCTGTGGACATAGTCCATGAACTCGCGCATTTCAGCGCGGTTTGTACCAGTTGCATGCACCGTTGGAGGGTTGAATCTTTGAGACGTGAATCCATCGAGTATGAATGAGGTCTCAGGTCGGGTTGAAGGTCACGCAGCTGTGGGGCCGGCATGGCATGTGAGGATTATCCACCAATGGGGGCAACATGTCGGATTTTCAGCTGGACGCTCCACAAATTTAGCGTGGCTTGCGTCGGTTTAATCGCTTGCTGGCTTGCTGGCTTGCTAGGCGCCAAGAGTGTCGACAGCCTCTTCTTTGGTCGTACAGAATAGACAGAGATGCGCTGTGATGCTGCAATATATTGTGTGTAGTGTCAAGGCGGCGTGGCGTGGACTTGCTCGATATTCCCGTCTCGGAGTCTGATTTGTACGTTCAGCAGCCCCACCAATTGTGTGTCGCAATGCCGCTCCGAGTTGGCGCGTGGCTACCCTGGACATGGAAAGGGAACGTCTTGTACTCGTACAGATCAATAGTCGCGCGGTGTTGATACCAGAGAGACTTCCCGGTGGTTATCTAAATGTTACACTGCCGTACCTATTTGAGGTCCAAGGGGATTCCTTTACATTGCAGGCACACAAGATTCTTCAACAATTACATGCCATCAAGCCCCCAAGTAACCGTCAGACCTGGGACCGCATCTTCCCATACCCCAACATACCGACCAACAGCTCTCTTGACCCCTAACACGTACATGCTGTATACTCAGCTAACGGTAGCCGGAATGTGAGCTTCATGCATAGCAACTTGTGGCGAGCCCGTCATCAGCCGACGCCCGAGTCGTGCATGAAACAACGCTCCTCGCCCCCCTCTCTCCCCGCTGCCTACCTGCTACGCCTCTGCAACACGTCCTCAAACCAATCCAGCAACACATGGTTTTGCAATACACTTGCCCCGACGGAACAATGGTACGCGGCTCCATCGACGCTCTCGAAAACATGGTGTGTAGCCAGCTCGCCCAGCTTCTCGGCGAGGAGCCGGCTCTGTCCGGGAATCACATCATCCCGCTCCGCCTGTGCCACAAACACGGGCGTCCGTATCTTGGGAAGCACGCTCGCCAAGGTGTAGTCCTCGAGCTTCGTCATCCACTCAAACGGTGTCTCGACGTTAAACGACCACAGGCCCTGCTGGACTCCCCAGACGGCGGCCGTCGTGGCAGCCGGATCGGCCAGCCGCTGCTCAACAAGGCGATTGAAGAGCGTCGCGTCGCCAGCCTTGAATATCGCCCTCATTCTTTCGGGAAACTTGTCCAGATTGGCCGCGCCGTAGTCGTACACGCCGTCGACGGCCAGCACGGCAGCGAGCCGGTGGTCAAACGCGGCCGCCCGGGGCGCGAGATATCCGCCCATTGAGTAGCCCAGCAGGCCGATGGCGCGGGGGTCGACCTCGGGCCGCGTGAGCAGGTGGTCGATGACGGGCGTGACGACTTTTTCCCAGTCGGGGATGAAGCCGAGGTTCTGCTCGCGGCGGACGCTCGGCTGGCCCGGTCCTTCGTAGGTCATGACGTTGATTCCTCGCTCGAGGGCCGCCTGCCCGATGACGTGGTACATTTCCTCCTGAGCGCCGTCGTACCCGTTGCCCAGGATCAAGGTTGGACGGGGGCCCGGCATGCCGCAGCCGTAGAAGATGGCCGGGATGGTGAAGCTGTCGTTGCTGGCGCCGAGCGAGATGCGCCGCCCCGGCGTGGGGAGCAGGGCAATCGCGGAGTTGAATGCCGCCAGGTGCTTCTCCCAGAGGCTGTCGATGCGCGGGTCGCTCCCGTTGCCGTGTAGGAAGAAGTCGGCGGAGCGGTAGTACGTTGCTGCCTTGAAGAAGTGCTGGCGCGCCGAGATTGGCTTCTTTCTGGCGTCCATGGCCCGGGCCGTCTTGTCGACGCGCGTGGCGAGGCCGTTGAATGCGCCGTAGAAGCTTTCCACGTCTTTGGGTTGAATCTTTTGCGCGGCGACGAGGACTTCTCCCAGGTCGGCGCCTTGGTACGGTGCCAAGGACATGACGCGCAGGATCTCGTAGTGGAAGTCGGGGTCGGCGCTGAGCTGCATCGTGCTGTTTGACGTCAGGTTTGCCCTTTTCGCATTTGAATGGGATCTCGTCGCGGCCCGCAGCGCCGTAGCCTATGTCTCGAGGTATGTCTCGAGGTCAGCCAAGCCATGCAAATGCCGTGGGCTGGAGAACATGTGCTTCAGTATCGTGGAATGCTTACGCAGGTGAGGAGAAGTGAAGCATGAGATGGCTTCATGTTGCTGTAGCCCAGCAGATATGCAGTAAAAACACTAGGAAGAGAATCGGGCGTTGATATGAATTGCGAGACACTCTTGAGACGTCTCGTGAGAATCGCTGATGATGGCCACCACCATCTGCACGCAATCATTGCGGCTTATATACTTGATTGAATCCATAACAATGAGATTCTGCTTTCATGCTGCCTAGTAAAATGGTCCCGGTCGTTATCGTCCTGTCGACGCCATCTCGATGACTATTGTGCTGATGCCCGATCGGTAACAGCTATTCCCAGCAATCTCCGGACAGGAGAGATTAACTACCGTCTGTCGTTCTCGTTCATCGCCACGTCCCTCCAATAACGCAGTGTTCCGGGGCGCCGTCGCTTGGTGGTCAGAACGCCACCTCTTTCGTCATTGCACACCGGAGCCGTCTCGGCAACGTCGTTTAGTCTCCGTACCTACATAATCAATCGACCGCCGTCGGGCTTGCTGTTGCCTTGAGAAAAGTCTTGTGGTGGGAGCAGCACCTTCAGCGCCACGTTGATTCCATTCCCGGTGCTTGGATATAGTAATCACGGACATCTTTTACCAGGCGGCTCAGGCTTCCTCCCCAGGCATCGCCTCGACGTTTCTTTGATGTGCCCAGGACACCATGATTCTGTCTGGTACTCGGGATTATAGACAACTCCAATCCCCAGGCCCTCATTACATCTTCCTCCGAAGACCGGCCTTGAGGCAATGGTGGTGACGCTCAGCTGGCTAGCCACCGAGGTCATGCCCACGCGAAGCATTGTTCGAGATAGCCGGTTCTAGAACTAATTTCTGCCCGAAACGATGTATCTGCGCGTTGAAGAAGAAATAGTTGGCTGGAGACCCTGATGCCTCGCCACAGCGGACACAACGTACAGTAGTGTATTATGATTATGCCATGGATACGCTGGTCAAAGTTGATGACGAGCTGGTTCCCGTGGACCCTGCGCCGCAGTCATATGGCTCCAGGTGAGTCGCGATTGGAGAGGCTGATGGCTGCCACGGAAAGCTGCCAATGGCGGATAGATAGAGCGTCATAGTCCCTGAGGGCCATCGTTGATTGACAAGACTTCTGCGGCCGCCGCCAAGGAATAGACGCTGGCTCTCTCCTCTTCCAATTTCTTCGCTGGTCCTTTCTTAGCCCATACTGATGAGGGGCTCTTGATTGCAATTCTGGCCAGCTGCGTTTTCGGCAATGCCTTCTTTGACCCATATGATAGGAATGAGAGACGTGAGCGCCTCCAAGGCCTCCCGGTCTCCATCAATGGCAGGATTTACTCGTCACCAGCAGACAATTCAGACAACCCAACGTTGCCTCGGGTGCGAACGACACAATCCAACACGTCGGTCCATGACTGTAATCGGTCTGGCGGAAATTCGTCAAGTCATGGATACCCACGAGGCACACCCGATCCGGCCGGGGGCACTGTCCAGCGCGACAAGGACGGCAAACTGAATGGCGTGCTCAGAGGTGCCGTCTTTCGGATAGTCTGGCCCTCTGTAGCGCGGGCAGCGAGCATGAAAGAGAAGGAGGACGCCATTCAGTCTCCCCTGAAGGCCTTCAATGCCATGGGATATACGGGTATCGACTTGGCCATGGACGACACCATCTGGGAACCACTGGTGGCGTTGAGGAACGATACAAACGGACTGCAAGGCATGCGAATAGCCGCATACTGGCTCACGAAACCGACTGATTCACCGGACAAGCTCCCTGCGCAGGTCGACGCTGCCGCAGAGTTGGCGAGGCAACACAGCGCAGAAACCACGACAGACTGTCGAGTCGGCGGCGTCAAGGTCATCACCATCACGGATGGCATCATGGACACGTGCGCCGCGTCCCAGACAGAGCCGCACTACAATGGCGAGAACGCAGACTCATTGTGGCCAGGACACCTCCGCCATCACGTCGTCGCCCGAGTCCACGCCACGGGATTTCAAGTTGCCCTCCCACGCTGCCGACGGCGAAGCGCCCTTGGCACGGGCATCCCATGCACCTACCACTCCCCGTGAGCCGCTGCCTAATCTACTTGTTGCTACTACGAGGCGCTTATCGAGAGCCCGATCTCACGACTGTCACAAATCCCCAATTTGCACTCAGAGTGTCAGGCAGTTGCTGGTGCCACGAACGGGTCCGCGTACTCGAGCTCTTCGGAAAGGTGGACAGGGAGCCTGATGGCAAGGCTGAAGGCGGATTCTGCGGTGTGTGATATGAATTTGATGCCAGAACGTGGTGAAGGGCGTTGCGACGGAGACGTGGCTTGAGGGGAAGCGTGTGTACAAGGCCACTTGAGCTCGACAGGGGGGGTGACAAGTGTGGTCTCTTGACAAGTGTGGTCTCTGGAAGCGATGGCATTGTAGATGTTTTAAATCAACAAGAGAAATTGCCAATCAGAGCGTCTTGCTCATGGTGTTAAGGTAGTCAAATGTCCGTCGCGCCGCCTCGTGCGGAGGGAAGCGTCGAGTTGTGTGGGTGTTGGAGGCGTCTCCGGAAAAACCATTTCCCCACCTCGAAAATTAGAACCACAGCAACACCACCCGCTGCTCAGGTCCGTCACGCCATCAACAACCTGCTCGTTGCGAGCCTCCAACGACACCGAACCATTCTTCTCATACACGACAAGCCAACATGACTGGTCGTGGTGGTGGCGGCGGTCGCCGAGTTCTACTTCCTCCCATGTACGTCCAGTCTTGTCGGCGCTGGTCAACAAGCGCAACTGCCCCGCCTCCGCATGGCGATGCTTTGCAAAGTTGAGAATGCTGACTTTGCGCAGTAATATGATCTTCAAGCTTCTTCAATCCGTGAGTTGCGATCTAGTCTACTTTTTCCACGTTGAATCAAGCCTTGCGACTCGAGGGTGTTGGGCGAATGGACCACGGCGTAATGGCTGTCTGGGAACAAGCGCGACGTCGAGTTCCGAGACGAGTGTCAACAGAGACAGCGGTCAGACGCGTTGCGGTCATGTTGCCCCTGTCCTGCCGCTGACCATGTTCGGGAGCTGCGAGCCTTCAAGCACCATGCCTCGGTTCCCGACCTAGGATAGCCCGGGCCCTTTGCCATCTCTCCTGCAGCAGGACATTACGGCGTATTAGCCAGCCAGCGCGTGCAAGGATGGAATGCTAACTGCTGACAGAATGCTGTGGTCAGCGTTTGGCTGTACGAGCAGCTTTCGATCCGTATCGAGGGCAAGATTCGAGTGCGTCTGCCCATCTGGTTACCCTCCACTCTTCGTCGCGCAAACTGACCTTTGTAGGGATTCGACGAATTCATGAACCTTGTCATTGACGACGCCGTGGAGGTTGCTCAAGTCACGAAAAACAACGACAAGGAGACGAGAAGACCACTAGGTATGGAGCTGCGACGCCTGCAGATACTGCTCGGCCAGCTAATATACGCTAGGTCAAATCCTGCTCAAGGGAGACAACGTATCACTGATTCAGAGCTTGTCACACTAAAGGCCCGAATTTGCGATGGCATATGAAAACGCTTGGCGCGCAAGTTGGGAAGGAGCAAAACGAGACACGTGTCACAGATCAAAAAGCGCACGAGATGGACACTAGAAGTGCGGAATCAGAGTTGGCTGGTGGTGGGAGTGCATGGCGCTGATTGTTATTCTTGAGCAGGAACTCCTTGGTCGTTATTCGAGGCGCAATTTACCAGCATTTTGGGCCCCTGGCGAGACTTTGCTAGACTCGGTGTGGGCTGTGTGAGACCTTGGCTGTGAAGACTGCATGTTGGATTTTGCGACTGACGGGGGATCTCGGGGCAGATGCTTCTGGTACGGTTTGCAATGGCTCAAGAGACACTAAGTTGGGCTGCAGGCGTCCAGACATCGAAGTGCCCAACTTCTCGTGGACGATGGAGACGTTGGGAACCGGCGCAAACTTGTAGCAGGCGTGCTGTGTGTTTTGTTTCACCAACCATGGCCTTGCGCTTGTCATGTACTCGGTAGCTGTGAATGCTAAAGGGAACCCAACCCGCCTTCAGCTCGTCGCGACGAGTATTACCGTTCGGACCATCGAGGCAGTACCAGCAACTCCACTCGGGCTAGGCGGCACGCTCATCTATACCTTCACATTTTACATCCACCAACATGGTCGCGGCTGGTGTTTAAAAGACGGCGTAGTCAAGTAATATCGACAGAAGAAATACACTGCTTGAAATGTCTCGATGATATTATCGCATTTCTCGTACGCAGCCGAGACGAGGTGGTCTATTTCTTTTCTTAGGGCTGTAGTTGGATAAACGTCACTGACGCCAATAGAAAAGCCTCGATTTGTTAGATAACGCGCACACAACTTTGCCAGCCGATTCATGGCACAGACAGCCTCGTCCGGGCCGTAGTCTTGGAGGATAACGTAGAATATGCTGTCCTTTTTTCCAGATCCTACAGTCGACTTATCCATCCGACCACACATCACTTCGGAATTCCGCACCACGAGCCAGCCGTCATTGAGATCCATGTCGGGACACTGACCTGGCCTGGCTACAAAGCTTTTGCATTTGGCATCAAGATTGACCATTACTGGCGACTGCTTGCTGGGCCGCATTAGGACGCTGAATATCTGTTTTCCTGTCCACAATAACTTAGGCACGATGATTGCTGGTGGTGGAAGATCCAGTCGAGTCTGTACATCCAGCATATGCGTACAGGTGGTCGTAAAAGCCTTGCGGTCAAAGAATCGGTCCTTTGAACTCAGTAGGTACGCGGCGGTAATGAAATCCTGAGTAGCGGCAATAATGAGGCTCGCCGCTTTTTGGAGCAATAAGGTTATGCTTCACGCCCATAAGACACATAGCCTCTGTGCGCGCTTCTTCAGTTTGCGGGACATGTAAATTCATCTCGTCGCCGTCAAAATCGGCGTTGTATGGGCTGCAGAGACACTCGTTAAGCCGGAACGTCCGCCAGGGCCGAACCTTGACGAAATGACTCATGATGCTTCATTTGTGAAGTGATGGCTGACGGTTGAATAGAATGATGTCGGCGTCTTCAATATGGCGCTCCACGACATCCCCCATGCATAAATTGTCGGCGACTAGCTCGGTATCAGCAAATTTGAGGGATATCTTGTAGCCTCCATCTCGCATTTTCAGAACATACTGGGCTCCAGGCCAGACGTCGGGACCATTTCTAATGCACCTCCTCAGTTTCTCAATATTCTGCCGCTGTGCTCTTTCTGGGTATGTCAGGTTTTTGGCAACTAGTTCTGGCACCGCAACTTCCTCAATACTAAGATTTGGATCTGGCGAGATGACAGTTCGGCCGGAAAAGTCAACACGTTTGCCAGACAGGTTCCCGCGGAACCGTCCTTGCTTACCCTTTAATCGTTGGCATATTCCCCGCACGGATTTTCCAAACCCGGGCTGTTGGAGGCCGGGTATCTCACTATTAACATATATAGCGACTTGGGTTTGCAAATATTCCCACTGCTCCATAATAGTCTGGATTGGCGAACCCTTTTGCAATGATGACCGAATCATTGCACTGACCCATACGATATCGGCCAACTTGGTCGTTAGGTCGTCCTCGTTGCTAGCATTATCTTGGCTGATGGATGGCCTTATGCAAACGGGAGGAGCTGGGAGATACTGCCAGATAAACATCTGGGGCTTTATCCCGAGCAGCTCACAATCGACAGGCCTTATACGTTGGAACAGACCAAGCACTCTTAGTGGGTTGAGATCCTCCATAGCTTTATTTAAGTGTTTATCAAGGTCTGGGTTGTCGTTCCGAGCTGTGAAAAATGACTCGTCAAACTCAATCTTGGCTGCCGGTGGGACCTTTTTAGCAGAAGTGGACTTCTTGTAGGAAGAAAACTTATCGTGCGTAAGTTTGAGCACGCCAGTCTTTCTAATTTGTCCGTTGAAAGAAGCACAATGAGGACAGATCTTGGCCTTGCGGCACTGCTCGTTTATCGTCTTGCAAATCTTGCTTCGGCCGAGATTATCGAGATGGGGGCGTCGCAGTTCTTTGAGGAAAGTTTGCCCTTCATGATCCGAAAGTAGCACGCGGCTGCAGGTCTGGAAGGCATCGGTTAGAAGTGTCTGGTGAAATGTTCAGTGCGAAGGGCGTACTTTGCATATGTTCTGCAGCATAGTCACAGTGAAACGCAAGTATCCGACGTTAAATGCTGGTAGCGGAAGTTTAACGCAACCAAAATGCCCATTGCAATGCTGTAAAGTTTCATGGCATGTAGCGCATCTGCCCAACTTGTTTGAAGTGCCCTATGGCATTTCTCGCGTTAGCAGCATTCTGGTTGCCACGGGAATTTTGCAATATTCTTACCAGCCGGGTATCGAGCGGACCATGAGCGTATGGAGAGCGACTATTCTCAATATCGTAAAGCAGCCTATCGGATATTTCAACCACGGCCTGATTCGTGAGGTCTTGGTTAGATCTTTTCCCAACAACAATCAAGAGTTAGTACAAACAAAGAAGTACAATTGCTGTAAGCCGAATTTGATGCTTTTGAAGCGCTTGGGAACCTTATCAACAAGCTGCTGCTTGACCGGGAGGTCAGTTGAACATGACATGATGAAAAAGTGCTGCTTAAGAGGAAGCGCCCCAGAAATAAATATTCGCCTTGACAAATCCCAAGTCCTCACGAAGGATAGGCTCGCTAACAGGACGTTGACTATTGAGGTAAACGAAGGAGAAGCATTTAGGCAGAAACGTCATGGTAAGCTTTGCTGCGTCTTTTTCGTTGATGCTGAGATAGTAGAAAATATTCCCTTTCCAACTTGGCCGACAAAACCTGTTGTTTCGCGTGCACGAACCAGCTCACACCTGCTCACACCAGCTCACACCAGCTCACACCAGCTCACACCAGCTCAGGTTGGGCACGAGTTTCAACGGCCATTGGTTGGAGCTCCTGTACCAGGTCCAAGATGAGTCATGACATACGTAGCAGGTAGTTACCTGTTTGGCAATAAGTCAGCCACTAACTCTTTATAACTTATAGTCCTTCCTAGAGACCTTCTAATGCACAGCTTCTAATTGGCCACAACCTGATTTTAATACCTAAGTGGCACCTTGACACGATCAAAGGGTTATAGGAAGGTGCAATGACCGAAGAGCGCGAGGCGCTTCACCTGCCAGCAGGCAGTCATTGCGGGATGGGTGAAAAACCAACGGGCAAGCAAATCAATAGAGGAACGAGCTGCCCCATCAGCCTTGGGGAGGAGCACGATGGGATATCGGTTTGTTGGCCAGAATCACATTCCTAACGGTCCCTCGAGCAGGCCACTCCCTGGCGGGAATCCGAGGATCAACCAAACTCCGTCAACGAACATTGGAGCCATCAGTGTATCGACGGCGGAAAGCGACTCGGCATTGTTGATTTTCTGTGGACAAATTTACCTACTATTTGTCAGATGTAGTTGGTAGAAGTTACAGAATGTGGCTAGTTGTAGAAAAGGTGGTGCTTATCGGCAAAAACTGACCGTGCCCTGAGCAATTAATCCTGACGCGATGTGTCCCTAAAAATTCGCAGTTGGATAGCTTGAGTGCAAACCAAATACGGGCAATAATCGACTGAGCAGAAGGAACTTGTGCGATCCTTAACTTGATGATCAACGGCATGTGGGTCGAAGCCGTGATTACGGGAACTGGAGTCAAAGATTCGACCCGAAGTTTTCAGCCCTACCTCATCGACTAGTTCGGTGACGAGAAGTTGACAAGTGGGTGGAGGGTCGGCAAAAGGCGTGCCGAGGCCCTTGGTGGCGCCGCCACACCAGACTCGTATTCCGCTCGCGGCGTCGTGATGTTGCCCATCAACTTCTGTGTTCTCGACCTCGGAACAATGCTTACGGAGTACGCTAATCCTGATTTGTGGGCACATCCGCTCAGCCACACAACCAGGCACCCGGTTCTCCTATCCAACGTTCCTGTAGGTCCCAACTCCCTTCACTTTTCGGGCTTCTCATTCACATCTACAGCGTTGTTGACCATGATTTCCGTCAGACTTTTGCCAATTCTAGCATTGACTTGCACCACCTGTGCCTCCACTTACCATGGCTACACCAGCGAGTATAGCTTCGATGCCAATCTGTCTCACCAGCCTGACTGGATGGCGCGCGTCTCCGACGCCGTCAAGATAACCACCCTGAGCATCCCCGGCACCCACGACACCATGACATATTCCATCAGGAGCAGGGAGCTGCAGTGCCAGAACTGGAATCTGACGGTGCAGATGGAGGCCGGCCTGCGCTACTTTGACATTCGCGCCAGGGTCAAGGAGAACCGCCTGCACATTTACCACGGGAAGGAAGACACGGGCTACTCATTCAAGCAGGTCCTGCTGCAGATGTTCGAATTTCTCGACAAACATCCGTCGGAAATGATTGTCATGCGCCTCAAGGAAGAAGGAGGTCCCGTCGGCCGCAACTCATATTCTTTCGAACGTGCCTTCAACTACGCACGCCTCCACGACAAAGCCACCAGTCAAGGCGCCGAAAAACACTTCGCCTTGTACACCGACGACAAGAGCAGCAGCAAACCTATCCCCAACCTCGGCCAATTGCGTTGCAAAATCTTTCTTCTCCAGGATTTCAAATGCGCAAAGGGGAAGACGTACGGGCTGACCTGGGACGGGCCGCAAATGGTGCTCGAGGACAAATTTGCTATCCACGGCGAACGTCGACTGGCCATCAAGTGGACTGCTGTCGCACTAGCGTTGCAGAGAGCCAACCAGGATCCCTTGGATGATGAGCGCCTTTACGTGACGCATAATTCGGCTGCCATTGGAGTGTTGCCGATCCAGGCGGCTGCTGGCGTCTTGGACAAGGTGCAGGTCGGGATGAATCAGAGGACTGGCAAATGGCTGGACGCAAATGTGAACGACGAGCGTTCGAGGAGGACTGGTATCGTGGTGTTTGATTTTCCGGGGAAAAAGCCGATCGAAAGCGTGCTGGCGTGGAATAAGCATGTTGAAGCGAAGCCGCATTGTTGAGGATACTTGTTGATTTTTTTGGCCTTGAGATTATGTGTGTTTGATTGATGATATACCCCTTTGACGTTATAGGTTCACCGGAGAGGCTTGAATTTCCGGGCATATATAGACATACTGTTTTGAAGACTTCTACATAATGTATTGCAATTTAGTTTGCCCGTACGAGCGAGCACATGTCCGTATGCTTTTAGCCTTACTTTTGGGACGCGCGGGTTGGCGGCGCTGGTGAGCAAGATAATGACGCAGCGTTGCACTTATGAGCGATTAGCCTGCGGCTTCAGCACTTGACCAATGTCAAATGTCACCAGACTGTGTGTGAGTGATTTGTCCCGGAAGTTGCATGAAATATGAAAGTTGCAAGGATCGGCCCCTCAGTAAGTACCTGGATAGAGCTTGATGCCGACGCTTTCTCAACTCAATTGCACCCTTCATCCCTTCATATCAATAGAGCTATTTGTGCAGTCCTTATCTTGTTGGTCGTCATGCCCAGCTACGCCCCGTGAATTGCAGCAACGGCTGGCTATTGGACCCGCCGCATTCGGGGACAGGAAATGCGACAAGCAGCGCATCCGCCGAGGGTGTGCCGACGCGCACTGTCAAGCGTTGGTCACGCCAGCACCATGGTGTTCGCAACGGCAACCTCGGGTCTAGATCAAATCATGCAAAAATAGATCACCTCCTATCGAGATTTTTACCTTGGTGTGACCAAGGGGCACTGAGGCGATAACGTGCCTTGTTTCGCGTCATATCTCGATGCTTGGAGGAACCTGTTTCTGCCGGAGCGGCAGTAACGAGTCACCGAAAGAGTTTATGTGGAGGAGCCATGGACAAAAAAGTTGTGTTCAACATATCGGCATCTGAGGTTCGAGCTGCAGAATCGTTCGTCATGTTTGACGACCATTCTGGCACAAGCAAAGAGTCAAGCGCGTTGAACATGGCAGAAGGAGATGCACATAGCGGCATGGAGAATTGGCGGAACTTGTCAGGAAACCACATGATCATGCCAGCAGAAACAGGCACTGCTCAACGTAATTTGCATTTGATGACAGGTACTATGTAGCATAGGACCAGAACATTGGATAGGTCGGCACAGAACTTCATGAAAAAGAGCCGATCAAAAGTCTCGTACATGTCCCGGTAGAAGTCGATACAGCGAGTTCGTAGTCTAAACTTTTACGGCTGGTTCCTCAGTGGCAGTTGTTAGCATTGCAGGCGAAACCAGGGTAAGCCAACGACGAGAGAGAGACCGTTGTGCGCTGAAATCAGAAACAGGCGAAACCAATTGCCCTTAGGAAGAAATCCACATTACAAGTTCGGTACGGCGAGTGAATCCATTCATCAGAGGAGCTAGAAAGTGCGCGAAACGAGGAAACACGAGGCAAACTTACCATTTCATATCGCTAACCATTCAGACGGGATCACGAAAGACACAACGCCGAGTCAGGGTGCTGGGGGCACGATGTGGTCCTGACCTTGCAATCTGGAGAAAAAGTGGGAAAAAAGAAGTGGTTGTGGAGTGCCCACTTTGAAGCTCTTCAACCTTGGATCTGCATGATCACGTGTGTGCGGGCATGCTTACTCTCACGTGAGATCGAGGACACCATCGTGAGCACTGAGCAGTGAGCACAATCTTTGACGGCAAGCCATGCTTTTTATCGGTTTATTCTCGAGATATAAATCCAGTCTTTTAAATTAACTCGTATACTTTGTGGAGTTTCAGTCCGGAATGCTGCATACGTCCCTCGGGATTGATTCAAGTTGGTGCTTTCCGTGACAACCATGTTCACAACTTCGCAGGCTTGCGCCGTCATTCACAGCCTTCCAGAATGAGCGTCTCCGGATGTGTGGCTCCTGGCATGCATGGCCAGGAACTGTCTCTCAACTCTTCTGAGTAGTGTTGAAACATAAACCAAGCAAAAGGAATATCGACCTTCTTTAATTCAGCGTTTTTCGAGCTTGTGCTGATGAAGGGTAGGAAGTGACTTGTCTCGATACAGAGTCTGGACCAACATCTGCGAGCCAACCTCACTCATGTGCGTCTTCACAAACAATTGCACATTCACGTTGCGTCTTCACGTTGTTGCGGGCGAAAATTATCTTGTCAATCTCTGGAAGGGAAAATTTTCTCTTACTCGGCGCATGCGTACGGCGCGGCCATCGAAGCACACGATTTCGCCAGGTTGAGCAAAACTACCTAGGCAGCTAAGTATGGAATAGGCAGTTTGGACAACCCTACGCGCGACCATGCGACCGGCGCTGAATTTTTTGGGGATTGGAACTACGGTGCCACAATGGGCCAGATGGCCGAAAACAACATGTCTAGTTGGAGCTGATTCACCACGGCGCAAAAGAGTTGAAATATCAACGGACGACCACGACCAAGTTTTAGCATGGCAATACCCTATGTTATACATCACACCCACAGCCAGCCATTCAAAGACCGGCGGGCATCCTACAGTCTCTACGCTCCCCGAGCCTTTGGTCAATCCAAAAGACTATTCGAACAGTATGACAAGGTTCCCGCTCACGTATATTTACGCAAGTTCCAAAATACCTGTGCATTGGCCATGGCCACAAGGCGTCTTCGCTAAAATATCCTTAATCTACATTTTTTTTTAAATAGTAGCCGCCACTGCTGCCTATCCAGGCACGGCTCGAGTGAAGCTTGGGTTGGCTTGACCTAGGCTGCTTTAAACTTCCGCCAGCTGCTGCAGATGATTAACAAGCTTATTTCGAGGCCTGTCAAGACCCACGTCTCGCCGAGCCAACTTCGAAACTACTGTGTGTCGTGTCTGTCTGTCTGGGATTTTCATGGTTGGCTGTACTCTTCTCAAAAGGAAGATGCTCGGGATGCTCTTGGTGATATGGTCTGCTTCGCGAAGCCATAGGTCAGCATCTGTGTCTCGGCATGACTGTTACTTTACACTGATGCCGCTTTAGTTTACTCTCGTCCCTGAGGCGACGACCCAGTTTTGAATACACTGCTAGCTGCATGGAAATTGCATGGATATCGGCGTCGTGGCGCGACATAGGCTTTTGCCTAGCTGCAGGGACCATTGTCACCATGACAGCCAAGGTGAAATTTGCCCGTTACCAAATATAGATTGGTTGGTATAAGTATCCTTCTGGTCCTCCTGTGTGCGTGTGAATTTGTGCGTGTGAGTGTGCAGAGGAGACTGAGGTTTTGTTGGCTCACTGCACCACAAAATCCCTCCTAGAGTTATCTGAGTCCCCGTTTTACATTCAAATCCCACACTTCTCTGCGCTAATCACCCCTTCCCGCTGCTGAGGGAGGATCGAGCAAAATGTTTTGGCCAAGAGCCGCTTTGTCACTGCTGATAGCGGCCTTCTGCGCAGTTACCACTGCCAACGTGGTTCCCGGCGCATTTATCTTTGAGTTTGAAGACGACCAGGCATGTTGACCAACACCTTGACTCAGTCATTACAAACTTACAAGTCAAGTCTGACACATGGGACAATTAGGATGCAGCTCAGGTGATGGACTCTGTCCGCAAAAAAGGCGACGTCAGAATGGATCTGGATTTCGAGCTCTTCAGAGGCGTATCAGTCCAGTTGCATGACCTCAACAATGCCAATAACACTGTGGAGGAATTGGCTGCTCTGCCTGGTATCAAAAGACACTGGCCCATTACCTTGAACCACGTCCCCGATGCCCAGATTCACTGGACGGGGAGCTCGGACGGAGGGAACTATCTTCAGGCTCGCGACGGCTCAATGGCGACGGGCAATTTTTCGCCTCACGTAATGACGCAAATCGACAGGCTGCACGCCAAAGGATACACCGGCAAGGGTGTCCATATTGCCGTCATTGACACTGGAGTAAGTTTTGCTGTCGTTATCAGGAGCGGTTGGTTCCTCAACGCACTCTTTTCTATCCCTTGCCTGGGACGATATCTTGGGCGTTGCTCTTTGTACCCTGCCAACTAAATATACTCCAGATTGACTACAAGCACCCTAGCTTGGGCGGATGTTTTGGAAAAAGATGTTTGGTCACAACAGGGTTCGACTTTGTTGGCGACAACTACGACGGAACGAACACAAAGGCCCCGGACAACGATCCCATGGACTGCCAAGGGCACGGCTCTCACGTTGCTGGCATCATTGCTGCGACCGATAAGCGATTCGGTTTCACGGGCGGTGCGCCGGGAGCAACTCTGGGCGCCTATCGTATCTTTGGCTGCTCCGGCTCCGTCTCGTCTGACGTGATCATTGCAGCAATCAACCGAGCTTACCAGGACAAGGCCGACATCGTCACGCTGTCCATTGGAGGCGCGAGCGGTTGGAAGCAAAACGCGTGGGCCGTCGCGGCCAGCCGCATCGTAGACAAGGGTGTCATTGTCACCATGTCTGCGGGCAACGCAGGCTCGATGGGCATCTTCTACGCAGGCACGGGCTCCTCGGGCTCAGGCGTGGCCTCGGTTGCCTCGTACAACAATGTACGCACGCCTACGTTGGTGCACCACGGCAAGGTCACCGTGGGCGGCAACAAGCCTCGAGAGTTTCGCTATGTTCCCGGGAACCCCAACAAGCTCCACACGATGTCTGTCTGGGTCGACACCACGAACACATCGGTGGCCGCGGACTTGTGTTCCCCTCTCCCTGCCGGCACGCCTGACTTGAGCAGGTACGTGGTCCTAATTCGCCGAGGCACGTGTGCCTTCAGTGACAAGATCCTCAACGCCGCCGCCAAGGGAGCCCGGCACGTCATGTTCTACAACTCGGTCGACTCCCATCCCACGTATCTGAATCTCAAGAAGGCGGTCCCCGGAAGCATCCAGGGGATCGGTTTCGTCGACAAGAAGACGGGCGAGGCCTGGGTCGAACAGCTCGAGGCAGGCAACAAGGTCACGCTGGCCTTTGGCCCCCGGCCAGACACAAAGTTCACCGTCGCCAACGTCGACAATCCCACGTCCGGCGGCGCCGTCAGCAACTTTTCCACCTGGGGCCCGACGTGGACCATGGACGTCAAACCGCAGTTTGGCGCCCCCGGGAGCAACATCCTCTCCACCTACCCCCGGGCAAAGGGCAATTACGCCGTGCTCAGCGGCACGTCCATGGCCTGCCCGCTGACGGCCGCCATCTACGCCCTCCTCGCCGAGGTCCGCGGCACCAAGGACCCCGTGCTGCTCCAGAATCTGCTGTCGGCCAGCGCCAAGCCGCAGGTGTTCAACGACGGCGACGGCTTCCACGACAGGCTCGCGCCGGTTGCCCAGCAGGGCGCGGGCCTGGTCCAAGCCCACGCGGCGGCCTTTGCCACGACGCTCCTGGAGCCCGCGAGCCTCTCCTTCAACGAGACCGCGTACTTTGACGGCAGGCGGAACTTTACCCTCACCAACCACGGCGACAGCACGGTCACCTACAACATCTCCTACGTGGCCGCCCTGACGGCCGTCACTCTTCAGCAAGACGCCAGGTCCGTCGGCCGCTTCCCCGGCGAGCTCCGCAGCGCCTCGGCAGACCTGCGCTTCAGCCAGAGCAGGCTCGCCCTCGGCAGGGGCGAAAAGGCCACCATCGACGTCCTCGCCACGCACCCCGACCACCTGGACGCGTCCCGCCTCCCCCTGTGGTCCGGGTACGTGCGCGTCAACGGCACGGACGGCACGTCCCTGTCGCTGCCGTACCAGGGCCTCGCCGGCTCGCTCCGCGGGCACCGCGTCATCGGCCCCGGCGCGGCCAGCATAGCCCGCGGCGGCGACCAGGGGCTGCGGCCCGTGCCCGCCCACGCCGGCTTCAGGATCCCCCGCCGCGGGCCGGGCGACCCGGCCAGGTACACCATCACCGCCGCCGCCGCCGGCGTCCTTCCGGCCATCGTCTTCGAGCCCCTCCTCGGCAGCCGCCTCGTGCAGCTGCACGTCGCGCCCGTCTCGGCCAACGGGACCACCGCCCGGCCAGTCGGCCAGGTGAAGGGGTCTCCCGCCGAGTACGTCCCCCGCGGGAGGCAGTCGCGCCCCTGGGACGGCCAGCTCGACAACGCAACCTACGTGCCCGCCGGGGAATACAGGATCCTGGTCAGGATGCTGAGGCTGTACGGCGACGAAAACGACCCCAAGCACTGGGACGAGAGTGCCACGCAGCCGTTTGCCATCAGGTACGCCTAGGTGGATGGACGTGCGCATCTGCCACGGCCCATGCCCCGTCCTCTCGTACCCTCATGAGTTGTCGGCAGTCGACCGACTCCACGGCCGCTGCCGGCGCTCACCCCCTCACGACCGAAACAAGGAAAAGAAAAGAAAAGCCCGTGGCCCGGATGCCCGGCACCATGCCGACTGACGCGACGGCACCGTGGCCCGTCGAGGGCCGTTTTGCTTCGAAATTTGAATCAAGATTTAAAAATCTAATCTAGACTGAGGTTCACAGTCACAACCAACGCTGTCCCAAAGGGTATATTATATGACTAATGCTGACCAACGCTCCGCCAAAGCAACAAACGCTAATAACCATCACACACACACAGACACAAAGAATGGCAAGGGCCTACGTCGACCGCCCAGACTCGCTATGTCTCCTCGACCCCGGCGCAGAGACCGCCCTCAGAGCGTCCAGCTCCTCCAGGTCATCGTACTCGATGGGCGGCTCCGCAGGGTAGCCCGGCGGGCTGGGCGGCACATCCTGGTAGACGGGGGGCGCCTCGTTGTCCCACGAGACGCCGAGCCCCGGGTACTCGGTGAGGTTGACGGCAAAGTGCATGCGCAGGATCCTGCCGGTGCCCGTCTGGGTGGCGAGATGCGTCTTGCCCTCGGGCGCAAACTCCTTGGAAACAATCAGCTCGATGTGCAGGGCGTGGGAGACGTCGGTGCCGTCGTGGGCGCGGAGGTCGCAGGCGTAGCGGGGCTCCTTGCCGTGCGCGCGCAGCTGGTTGACGGTGTAGTCGAACTCGAGGTCGACGGTACCGTCGTTGCCCGAGTAGTCCGACTTCCAGCCATCGTGGAGCTGCTTCTCGCCGAGGAGGCGGGTTTCGGTGCGGACCAGGCCGGCCCTGCCGGGGTCGCTGGGGTCGTCGGCGGAAGAGGCGGGGGCGTGCCTGTCGCAGGGGCTGGCGGTGGTCTTGATGGTCTCCTCCAGCTTCCAGGTGACTTTCTTCAGCTTCCACAGGTCGACCGTCTTGACCTTTTCGTTGTGCGTCATGAGGCCGTCGAGCTTGAGGGTGACCGAGTTGGAGCCCGAGGGGTGGATGACGGCCGTGTAGTGCGCCGAGGCCTTGATGTTTGTCGGGGGAAAGACGCGCACCGAGTGGTGAGGGTACAGCGGCTCCGGCAGCGAGCGCTTGACGCGCAGGGTGCGCTCGAACCGGACGGGCAGGCGGGACGCGGACGTCGACGACGCCGCCGAGGCCGAGGCTGCCGGCGCGGGTGACGGTGCGCGGACGGCCACGGCCTCGGCCTTGAACTGGTACGAGAAGGAGACGAGGGGCGAGTCCATGGACGCGGGCAGGCTGCCGTCGAGCAGGGTCGAAAAGGGGAACTGGTGCCTGCCCCTGCGGAGCGAGGTGGGATGGGCCAGGAACTGCCAACTCCGGAGGTCCGTCACCTTTGTGTGGCAGTCGGGACAGTGGCTCTGGAAGGGCTTCTTCTGGGTGGCGTGGATGCTGAGGCTGGCGGTGAAGCTGTCCACCTCGACGGCGTCCTCGTTGACGTCGATGTACAGGAGGCCCGAGACGAGGGCGCCGGTGCTCTCGGCAGGCGAGCCGTAAAACACAATGGGCGGGCTCTCGATGCTCCAGTCCATGGCGACGGGGGCGTGCGGCGAGGAGGAGGAGGGGGAGGAGGAGGACGAGGGCGCGTTCGAGGAGCGGCCAAAGTGCAGCGACAGGCGGTGCTTCTTCATGGCGTCTGCCAGGTCGGGCATCTTGACCGAGTGCGACGCACACGCATGGTCCTCGGAGTCGGAGGCGTAGGGGCTCGCGCTGAAGGAGTTGTTGCGCGAGTTGTTGCGCGATGTGGTTCGGGACCGCGAGATGGCCGACTTTTTGATGTGCGAAATGTTGCCGGACGAAGTGCGCAGGAAGTTGGCAACGAGGTGGGGCATCCTGGGCGGCGTGGGTATATCTCGGGGACTGGGAATAGATGGAGATGGAGAAAATAATATAACTGGAAGGTGTCAAGCCTGGTCCGAGGCGGTAGGCAGGTAGGTGTTTGCTAACAAAATAACAGCAGTCGAGTTGGGGAGGAGGCTGCTTAGTTTCCCGGTGACGGCGGACTTGGTCCTCCGTCCGAGTGAATGTCGAGTTGGACCGGCAACACGTCGTCGGGGGAAAATGGAGTGATGCGTTGAATGGCTTGCCTTGTTTCCTTTCCCCTCCCTTGTTGCTTTTTATTTCTCTCTCTCTCTCTTTTTAAGGGAGAAGAGACAGATCCGACGCAACCAGCCGTCGCGATGCCCAGCTCCAAGTCGGGCCAAAGTGCCACCCGTTGACCCCCTCCTGCGTACGCAGCCAGGGCGCCGGCGAGGAGACTGCCTAATGGGAGGGAACACAAGGAATCAAAAACGTCATGCAAAGCCTGGTGGTGTTTGTCTTTTTTTTTTTTTTTTTTTTCCCTTCCCTCTCTCCCCTTCTTCGCCGGCAATGGCACCGCAGGCGGGTGTCTCGTCGGTGCCAAAGGGTGACCGGCAGCAGAGCAGCAGAGCTTTTTCGGCAGGCAAATGCCGACGTGCTGGGCGGAGGCTGATTTGGGGCCGATTGCGCAGGCGGCTCGTCAATGGTCAATGGTCAATGGAACCCTCTGCCCCTTCCTGACGTATGCGGACACACGGACGGCAGCGGTCGACGGCAGGGGGAGCGAGGGATGTGTGGTCCGGTGATTGGCTGATTTGACGGATTGCCTCGAAGTGGCGCTGGCTTCAGATGGTTCTGCAGCGGTACCGGGCACCCGACGCGAGCAGTGTGAGGCCGATGTAACGTGGGCCTTGCAGTGGCCTGTCTTTTTGGTTCCCCTCGTCGTTGTATCGTCAACGAGGCAGGTTTATCTTGTTATTTTTTATTTTTGGTTTTGGTTTTGGTTTGCTCCGTTTTCCAGGCCAGCGTTGATGCTGAGGATGGGGATGAGTGGGTGAAGCGGTGTCGCTGTGCTGTGCTGCGCTGTGCTGCGCTGTGCTGCGCTGTGCTG